CCACCAGCTCCAGGGGGTCACTGCGCTCTGACCAGACACCTTGGCTGAGATAGGAACAGTGATATCTCCCTGCAGTGAACTCTGTCATGTAGGTGATGTGGAACTTAGTCTTCTTCCCGGGATCCAGGGGCTTCTGGATGTCCAAGGGTGCTGGACTTCCCTCTATTTCCAGACGGAACTCCTGGGCCTGCAGGGCCCCCTGACACCAGAGGGTCACAGGGCTCCCATAGGGGATCACAGGGCCTGGCTCAGCCCAGAGGGTGGGTGTGGGGAGGGTCCCTGGAAGGAATCAGAGGCTGGGTCACAAGATATTCAACCCCAGTCCCCACATCTCAGCCCCAGGACCTTCCCTGATGTCTCTCATCTGTCAGCCCAGATCTATTTCTCTCTCTCTCTCTCTTTAATTTAAAAGGGCAGTTTTCTCTGCTTCTAGAGAGAGAGGAAAGGCAGAGGAGGGAAAGAGAGTGTGTGTATGTGTGTGTATGTGTGAGAAACATGAATAAGAGAGAGAAACACTGGGGTCCTGACCAGCAATTGAGCCTACAACATTTCACTTTGATTATGAACAATGCCCGACAACTGAGCCACCCAGCCAAGACTGACTTTCTCCTGTTTTAGATGATGGGACAGAGCCCTTTTCTCAATGACAAGGTGAAACCTGGGAGCCCTGGGGACAGACTCACCTGCCTGCACTGGAGTCCTCAGGCCCAGGCTAAGCCCTGCAAGAGAGTCCCTGTGAGAGATTTGCCCTGAGTCCTGAGCAGAACCCTCCTCCCCAGAAGCCTCCCAAGTCCTGGGGTCCTGACAGAGCAGGGCTTCCCCTCCTCCCTCACTTCTCACCAAGGCAGAGCAGGGCAGTTAGGGTGGGGGACATGGTGTCTCCTCTGTGAACCCAGCTGTGCAGAAGGAAGAGACTACGGTGTCCTCAGGGTGAACAGACATTCAGCATGTGGTCACTGGGAGGCTGGCGGTCCCTGTCACAGTGCAGCATGTCAGCAGCCACTCAGAAAGGGGAACAGTCTCCCCACGAGTCTGCCTCTCATTCCCATGATGGGGCAGGAAATAGATCCCGAGCTTCCTGAGACGTCCCTTGCAGGTAAGCTGACCCAGGGCACACCCTTCAAGGTCAGACCTGCCCCCCAAGGGGCCTCTTGATCCTCCCCCGGCTTTCAGTACCTCCTTCTGGGTCCTTCCCATGAACAGTGGCCACCCAGGCCCTGGAGATGCTTCAGGAGGACGAGGGTCCCTGTGGCTGCAGAGCTCAGCTCAGCAGAGACACGGTCCCCTCCCCACTGTGCAGTTCAGGCGAGTGTCACTGTGACAATGAGCTCAAAGGGGAAATGCAGGGAAATGAGGAAGGATGTACCTTCCTTGCTCTGGCTCCAGAGTGCAGTTTTCGTTCTATGACAGCCACCTCACACACTTCTCCTTTTTCTTAGAATGTCCACCCACAACTTCCTGGGAGCAAGTCTCACTCATTCCTGCCTCCTCAGAGCCCTTTTTTCTAGACATGAGCTGTCCCCTCGTCCTGCGGTCCTACCCTCTGGTCTTCTGCTTTTGGGGACAATGAGGGAGTTAGTGTCCAAATGTTGGTGACAAAGCTCATTCTCATTTAAATGCTCCTCCATCATCCCTTTGATATCAAGCAATAATATTCTATCCCTGAGCCTCAGTTTCCCCAAGGGAAACATGTTGTTATGAACCTTATTCCTCAGAGTGGCTGTGGAGGGATTGGGCCTGGGGTCCTGGGAGGGATCAGTCCTCATTGGTTTCTAGATCTGATGGAGATGTGTGGGTTGGGACATGAGCACATCAAAGTTTGTGGCTCCACAGTCAAGGTGGACAGTGGAGAAAGAGAGGAAGAGAAACATCAGTGTGTCATTGTCTCTTGTGTGCCCCTCACTGGGGACCTGGCCCACAACCCAGGCATGTGTCCTGACTGGGAATCAAACCGGCAACCCTTTGGTTCACAGGCCAGCACTCAATCCACTGAGCTAAACCAGCCAGGGCTACCTATTAAATTTAAAAGACATGATGGAAGGTGGTGGGTGTGTAGGGCAGGAGAGAGTCTTGGGGTGGGGGTGGGGGAATGGGGACCACTATAATTGAACAACAATAAAGAAATTAAAAAGAAAATGTAAAAGAAAAAAAGAGGGGACGGAAGACCTACAATGCACCATGCAATCTTTCTAGGAGCAAGTATCATCCCAGTAAATGTAAGCCCCAATTACTTGTTCTGTTGGTAGTCTAGATAGGAGCATGGATTAAAAAAATGCAAAATAAATAAATATCCTGAGGTTGAAAGGGTAACCACTCTCCTGCATGCACCCGATGTGGACCTTGAGGGGCCACACTCTGTTCCCTTTTGCTGTGAGGAGGAATCCACAGTGGGGAGGGGGCCTGGCTCCTTTCCCTGTTCCCTGTCACCGCCAGAGGGAGGGGGTCACTATTCTCTGAGCCGTGACATGTACACTTCTACCGCCCTGCACTGTGGGAGTTTGTGGATCCCACGGGGAGATTGGTCTTGTTGCTGGAGTCCTGTGGGGGCTTCCCAGCGCTGTGTCCAAAGCCCCTCTCTTTACACAAACTGTAGAGTCACTACCTGGCAGAGGCCCCTGGACACCAGGAGCTCACAGGCTCCTCCGAGCATCAGCCCAGATGGAGGGCTGGGGGCGGGGACCCTTGGAAAGGAATCAGACCTGCCTGAAGTGTCTGGGGTGCCCTTCACCTCTTTGGCTTCCTCAGCTGCCACCCCGAGGTCCCCTCCCTGACCCATCTCCACCAGCCTGGATCTGCTGCACCCTCCCCAACTGCAAAGCAGGGTTATTGGGCTGAAACAAAAGGTCTGGGGAAGGATCGCCCACCTGTAGCAGGTCCCATGAGCTCGGACAGAGCCCCGGAAGTGTTTGTAGATATAACGCACACAACAACGACGATGTAAATATGTGAGCTGCATGTTTATATGGTTCCCGTATGGCCCTGGATGCGATAACTTATTAGCCCACACTTGACTGTGTTGAGTTGGGTTGATTGTGATGTGTGAGAATATGTAGAACAGCTGCTTAGGCAGCATACAAAGATACAGTTAACACACCTATAGAGAAATTAAAATGGGATATTAAAAACATTCTCTAAAGACAAGGAAAGGGGAGAGAAAGAAGATGAACCAACAATAAAGGGACAGGTAGAAAAATAAAATAAATAAAGCAATAACCTAAATAGTAGCCTTATAAGTGAGTACATTATATCTAAAGGGTCTAAACACAATAATTGAAAGACACAGCTTGTAAGACGGGTTGACATGAAATATCAAATAAGACCTTGCTACGTGCGGTCTATAAGAAATTCACTTGAAATGCAACCATGTGAAAAGGTTAAAAGCAAAAGAACAGCCTTGGCTGGTGTAGCTCAGTGAACTGAGCGCAAGCAGTGAACCAAAAGGTCTGTGGTTCAATTCCCAGTCAGGGCACGTGCCTGGGTTGTGGGCCAGGTCCCCAGTAGGAGGCACTCAAGAGGCAACCATACACTGACGTTTCTCTCCCTTTCTTCCTCCCTCCCTTTCCTTCTCTCTAAAAATAAATAAATAAAACCTTTAAAAAATATATTTAAAAAAAAGTAAAAGAATGAGCAACATGGCTAAACCTTGAAAACACTGGACTAAGTGCAATTATCCAGACACAAAAGACCACCTGTTGTGAGGCTTCACTTATACGAACCGCACAGAATCAACGGACTCCGAGAAGCGGTGCGCAGGATATAGAGACTACCCACTGCTGGTTCTGAGGGGGCACGAGAGTTAGCGTTGATTGGGTACCAGTTCCTGTTTGGGATGATGCGAAGGTTTTGAAAATGGATAGTGCGGACCGTTGCCCAACACGGTGTATTACTTAACACCCCGGAGCTGTACACTTGAATAGTGGCTAGAGGGTAAATTTGGTGTTATGTGTACTTTCCCACGATAACAGAAGAGAACAATGGTAAAGGAAGATGTCTGTACCATGCAAACAGCGATCGAGAGGAAATTTAAGTGGCTGAATTTATTGGCTGTCACAAGTCACCACAAACTTCACGGCCTGAAACAATACCAATGTATCATCTTACAATTCTGGGGGTGAAAAGTCAAAAGTCAGAGTCTTTGGTGTAAAGTCAGAGGATAAGGAGACATTTAACTACTTTGTCTTGGTCCAGAACCAGAAATCAGAAATGCAGTTGATGGCTATTGACTGACCATGTAGCCAGTTATACTGGAAAACTCCTGTTTAATTTGAGTAATACATCTTCATATTACTTTGAATGTTCTATGCAAACCACTGTTTAATCTCTGAGTGATACACTCAGAGAGTGTATCTACTAGTCCCATCTACTCCATGTTTATAATTTAATTTTATTTAGTTGGTTGGTACCTCCAGGGCTCTGTTAAATAGAATAGATCGTAAGGACAATACTGGGCTCATTCCCAGTTATAGAGAGCAGGAGTTCAAGGCCCTAACTTAAAGAAAGATGTCTAAGGCCCTGTCTGGTGTAGCTCAGTGGATTGAGCGCCGGCCTTTGGTTTGTGTTAATTTTTCTTTTGTTCTTTTTTTTGTTGTTTTTGTTTCGGTTTTTTTTTTTTTCATTTTTATATATATATATAAAATCACTGAATCTTATTTGTGAATATTTTTAGTGGTGTTCATCTAAGTTCATGAGAATGATCTCCCTGTGCTTTTCCATTTTGTAATCTCCTTGTCAATATTTTGGAGTCAATATTTTCCTGATAGAATGTGTTTGGGTGTGCTTCTAATTTTTCTACTCTCAGGAAATGTTTGTGTAACTTTGATGTGTGTGTGTGTGTGTGTGTGTGTGTGTGTGTGTGTGTGTGTGTGTTACAAATGCAGAAGCATTTGGAAGAAATCCCCAAGGAAGCCTCCTGAACTGAAACATTTATATGTTGCAAAATGATGACCACAGCAGCATTAGCTAACACCTTCTTCCTGTTACACAGTTGCCACTTCTTTCTTTGGTGAGAACGTTTATTATCTACTCTCTTAGTAACAACACTCAGAAATATGATACAGTGTTAGTAGCTACAATCACCATGCTGTACATTACAGCCCTGGAATTTGTCAGTCTTTTAGCTGGAAGTTTGTACATTTTAACCAATATCTCCCCATTTCGCCTCCCTTCCACTGCTGGTAATTCACACTCTATTCTTTGTTTTTACTACTTTGACTTTTTTTCTATTCCACAGTGATCAGTCATAGAACAGTTTCTTATTACAAAGTCAGTGTATTTAATGTACACATAAGGTGATACAAAACTTCCATTAATTTTATGTCTCCTTAGTAAATTGTCCACTGGAAGGTGTCCATTTTAACTATGTGTTCTAATACATTGGTATCAAATTGTTTATAGTGTTCTGTTAGCTATTCCAAGTCCGTAAGATCTATAATGCTGTCCTAGTAGAGGTGACAAGTGTCTTCTCTCTGTCCCATGTCCAATGGAGTAGACTTTGGAAGTGTGATTGACGTTTTCAGAATGAAAACTTTTGGTTTTGTTGCCTTTTCTCTATGTTTGTTTGTCTTCATTGGTATCTGCTCATTATTATATCCCTCCTTCTACTGCCATTTATACTAACTTGCTATTCTTTCTCTAAGTTCTTCTTTATTGAATTTATTGGCATGACATTTATTAATAAAAATTATAGAGGTTTCAGGTGTACAGTTAATTTTATGTACTTGATAAAACAAACTAGGTCATTTATTTTAGGCTTTTATTTTCTAACAGATTTCTCGTGCTTCTTAATTTTCTTATTTCATACATTTAGTATATAATATTTATGTTATTAATTTAAACATTCTCTCGCTTCCTCTCAATAATCAGTTAACACTCTGATTATTGATAAGGCTACTGCTTTGACTACAAAATGTTTGGGTGTCATTTATCTTCAACAGAAAAATCAGTTGAAGCTGCTGGGGGTCCATGTCAGGTCTCCAGGCCGACTTGGGTCACTAGTGAGTGTCCTTGGGGCAGCTCCTATGCCTTCTGGGGTCCCTGTAGGCCCTCTCCCTGGACTGTGGGGTTAGGGTCCTTCTGGGGCTAGTGGACGGCCAGAGCAGCGTACACACTGGGCACATCTGGGGGCTCCTCTGATGGGGAGGAAGAGGGTGCACTTGCCTCCTGTTTGAGGCCCAAGTGGGTCAGCTGGGCGTAGGTTACATCCTGGGGGGCAGCAGGTACAGCATCCTGGACCAGGGGGACAGTGAGAGGGGTGAAATATGGTTAGGGTTGGGGAAGCCTGGGGCCTGGGGAGGACGGGACCCACCTGACTGTCCACCTCTCTGTCCTCTTCTGCTTGTCTATCCTTCATGTCCAGCAATTCTTCTGACAGGGGGGAAGGTGAGGAGGCCATTCTTTGCATCTGCCTTGATGTTGAGTGGGTCACCTGAGCACACGTCTCTCCTTGGGGATCGTCATGGGTCCTGTTCAGCTGCAGAGAGACAGTGAAACAGAACCAGTGTGTCCTTGACCCCATAATTGAAACCATCCAGTCCTGTCCACATGGTGTCAGAATGACAACTTAAACTTCAGATCAGATGAGGTCACTCTCCTGATGGAGTCTGCAGGGACTCCCTGAGCCTTGGGGTATCTGGTGCTTCTATAAATCTGACTCTTAACCTAACTCACTATATCTGCTCATTCAGCCCTAGCCACAGGGCCCATCTGGCTGAAGCAGCAGGTCCTGCCTCAGGACCTTTGCACCTGCTGTTTTCTCTGTTCTTTCCCCTCTCACCACAGACTCCACTCCCCGTTCTTGCTTTATTCTCCTTCACAGCACTTGGCTCTCCAGGATGCCATCTGCCTGTTTGCAGGTGTCTCCCTCAGCCACAGGTGAGCTCGAGGAGGGTGGGGATAGGCTGCTCAGGGCTGCACTGGGGCACCGACATGGAGCTGGTAACCAGTGAGCTCCTGTCACGGCTGCTGCATGAGTGAGTGATGGGACCCTGGGACCTGCGGGTAATTCCCTCATTCATGCCTCCTCCTGAGACCTGGAGCTGCGCAAGGTCAGACAGAGGGTGATGGGCCAGCACAGGGGACCACTGAGGAGGGGACATGAGGTCACAGGAAAGTGGGAGGAGTGAGTCAGAGCAGGACAACCTGGTGCCCAGAAGGAGAGGTCAGTATAGATGCTGCTGAGAACCAGGGGAGGTGAGGACAAGGGGGTGACCACTGGAGTAAACTGGGGAACAGGAAGGTCCTTGGTGGCCTGGACAGGAGCAGGGGTCTCACCTGAGGGTCCAGCTCCATGCCCTCCCCAGGCTGTGGGTCCTTCACAGAAGCATCTGTTGGGGCAGAACAGGGAGTGTCTCCTGTCATGGTCCCCGAGATCTCAGGGCTGCAGACCTGCCTGGTCCTAGATGGGTCACTAACCCAGGAGTGAGGTGAGGGGTCAGGTCAGGTTTGATGAATTTTAGTCCTTCTCACCCCTGACTCTGCACACTTCCAGGCTGTCCCCCCCCCCATTGCTTCCTGAAACCCCTGTGTCCCCCTCTCCCAGGGCAGCTGTCCCTTCCTCTCACAGAGGGGCTCTTCCTGGGCATCTGCAGCTGGGCTGGATCTGGGGGAGGAGACAGGGAGTTAGGGGCAGAGTGGGGCCTCGGGGAGTGGGTGGGAGTCTTCAGGGCAGGAATTACCTGGTCTGCAGGCCTCTGTCCTTGGAATCCTGGTCTGTGGCCCCTGCAGGAGGTCAGATATCAGCCTTCCTCTGGGTTAGTCAAGAACGACATTCTCAGCTTTGGGAGGGTAGGGACCACCCTTCTTCCCCCTCCCTGTGTGATTCCAGAGGAAAGAAGGAAACCTGAACACGCTTGTGCATATGTTTCAAGTTTCAGGAGATTGAAAATGGTGGAAGACGACTTTACATTTCTACATCGATGCTCATGTTGAGTGTTTTCTTTCTAGATTTTCCGACGTGAGATTCTGGAGAAATCTGTTTCTCAGCTCACCTTCCCCATCTATTTGATTTTCCTGTGACAGGTGTGCTGAGCCCTTCTCTCCTGTGACCCAGGTCACCCCCTTTCCTACTCACCCAATGTCCTGCCTTTGCTTTGATTCTGGTGTCGAAGGAGGAGGAAGAGGAGGAGGAGGAAGAGCAGTAGGACGAGGGCCACTGAGACTCCGATCACCACATTCCAGTACCATTGGAGACCTTGGGCTGGAGTGATGTCATGAATGAGCCAAAGGTGTCATTTAATGAGCACTTACTGTGTGCGAGGCATGTGCTGGGGTCTGTCCTTCATCTCCTCTGACCTCAGAGCCCTTGTGCACCAGGGGTGGCTGACCCACCGACCAGTCCACTGCAGCTCAGGGGGGTAGCACCTGCCTCGGGTCACCCAGACTGGCCAAGGCAGGGCTGGGACTTTCCATGGGAACTCGTGTTCCCTGTGCTGTCCTCATGCTGCCCCAGGTGGACACCAGCTCCGAGCTCTGGGCTCCTCACCTGCAGGGGCCTGTCCTGTCTCACCTGGAGCTGAGGGTCCTTCCTTATGACCTGCCCCCAGCACAGCAGGGACACAGGAGGGGCAGGGGTGTGTGGTGAACCCTGATGCCCCCTTCACATGATCAGGCTGGGCTGGGGCTCTGCCCTCCTGAGCTCTGTGAGTCCCCTTGTGTCACCTGATGTCACCACAGGCCTGTGAGCAGGAAGGAACCAGGGACAAACAGACATGAACCTGACACTCAGAGAAGAGAGGGGACCTCGGGACCCACAGTGGGAGCAGCAGACCCGGGACCTGACCCAGGTCTGACTCCTGGCCTCTCTCCCTTCTGAGCTGAGCACCTGAGCTGAGGAACAGACTTGGATTCCCTAAACCCATCTCTTCCTTGTCCCTCCCTGTGCACTGTCACCAGCACTGCTGCAGAGAGGACAGTCCCCATAGCATCATATCCTGGGGGGCCTCCCTGTGAGGCCTTTTCCCAGGAGGTCTGAGCCAGAACTGAAAGGAAATCTAACCTCTGGGCCACGATTCTCTCCTTTTACACTTGGAGACTCTGAGGCACAGAGAGGGGAAGGATGTGTCCAAGTCAGAGCCTCCAGAGGTGCCTGAACTTGCACAGGACTCAGTCCCTGTCCCCATGGACTCACCCACCACCTCCCCACAGAGACCCTCACTTACTGCTCTGTGGGCCTGACTCTGAGTTGGGGAGGGGCTGATTCCAGATGGGGGTGAGGGCTAGGGGCTGCCTTCTCCCCACTTGAGCCTGGCTCCTCCCCCAGCTTGGGCCCAATGTGTTCATCTGTCATGCCCTCCCCTCCTGTCACCTGTCAGCCTCAGAGACCTGGCATTCCTGTGGTTCTGGAAACTCTGCCTGACTTCCAACCTCCTGGGACAAAGTCCCCACCCTCAGTGTTTGGGGGTCACAAGACCCCCTGATGGGCCCTCAGAACTTCCCCGGGCTGCTCTGTGCCCCCTCTGAGCAGAGTTCCCAGGGCCTCACCCGCTGTGGGGATGGGCCCTGTGGGTGGGGGTCCAGGGTCCAGGGAGTGAGGACACAGACTGGTGTGAGGGTGAGGGACTTAACTTCGGGTTCAGTAGAGCACCCAGATTCTTTTTATGAACCTGCTCTATGGGCCCCCTAAGACATGCCTTCGCCCCACCTACCACCTTTGATCCCAGGTGAGGGGGAGGGGTGGACAGGTACAGCAGGGTCCCCAAGGGCCAGATGTCCTGCTGGTGAGCATCCCCAGAGCCCTCTACCTCCGTTTTCAGCCCATAATTCCTCTGCAGATACGACCCTGAGCTAACAGCTTGCAAGGCGGAGTTCGGGGCTCCTCACCTGAGACCAGGAGCTCCAGGGGGTCACTGGGCTGTGACAGCAGGTAGGGACTATCATGATTTGCACTGTAGCACCTATAGGTCCCCCCGTGGGCAGACGTCACAGGACTTATGGAGAATTCTGCCTGGTGCTGCTGAGCTCGGGACTGTAATCTGAGACGCAGCGGGGGACTGGCTGCCCCCTCCTTGGACAGAAGGAAAGTGTCCCTCCAGCTCAATGACTGACACAGCAGGGTCACATTCTCTCCTGAGGCCACCATGGCTCCTGGTTGCACCGAGAGCGAGGGTCTGTCAGGGAGCCATCCTAGAGAGAGGGGGGCAGGTGAGGGGCTGCTGCCCACCATGTCCTGACCTGAGAGTCACCAGGCCCCTTTCTGACGACCCTCCTCTCTGTCTCTGTTTTTTGTGCATCTCCCCTCCACCTTCCATCCCCTCCCTTTCTGCCTCTCTCACTGGGAAACCCACACCCCTGGTCCTGGCCAGCAACACTGAGACCCCCAGCCAGGCCTGAGCAGACTCTGGGTCCATGATTGATCCCACTGCTTTCTCACCTGCCACCAGGATGTCCAGGGGGTCACTGGGGGCTGACCACTCAGAGGAGAGGTTGTGTCCACCATAGCACCTGTAACGGCCCCCATGGGAGATGCTCACAGTGTCCAGGAGGAAGTTGGCCTGAGAGAGCCCAGCCTGGGGCTGCAGAGCATTGATCTGGAGGAGACCCTGTCCCCCTTCCTTGAACAGAGCAAATCTGTCATAGCTGATGTCAGAGTGACATTGGAGGGTCAGGCTCTGTCCATTGGCCACGATGGGGACCTGCTGGGTCAGGAGGGAGGGTTTCCCTGAGCCACCTGCAGGGACCAGACAGGAGTGACAAGGGCTGCTCCTCCCATGAACCCTCCTCCTGGCCTGGCCCCCAGGCCCCCAGATCCCCTGGTCTCTCTGTGTCTCTGGCCCAGTAGCCCCTGCTCCACTCATCCCACCTCCCCCGTGGGGCTCCCCTCCCTGCAAAGACCCCAGGAAACTGCCTGGACACTCAATCCACACAAGAGGCAAAATAAAGAATTTTTTTACCTGGGATCACAAGCTCCAGGGAGTCACTGGGCCGTGACCACACTTGTGGGCTGTCCCTGTAATAGCCATAGCATCTGAATGTCCACCTGTGGCTGGGAGTCATTGGACCCACAGAGAACTGGGCTTGGGACTCCCCACTGGGGTGTTGCTTTGAGTCCAGGGTCCAGGAGAGCCTGTCCTCTCCTTCCTTGGTCAGAATGAACCTGTCAAATCCCTGCCATGAGCCACACTGGAGAGTCACGGTCCCTCCTGGGGTCACAATAGGGCTGGGCAGGGCTGAGAGCCTGGGTTTGCTGTAGTAGGAGACTCCTAGGAGAGTAGGAGGCAGCATGTTAAATGGGGCTCACACCTCCCTCAGGTCCGCCAGGGCTGGGCTGTGAGGGGGAGGCCCCCTGAGAGCATCCCCCTTCCTGAGGGCAGAGCCTGAAGTTATGACCTCTGGGTGTCCTCTCACCTGTCACCACCAGCTCCAGGGGATCACTGTGCTCTGACCAGTCACCTTGGCTGAGATAGTAACAGCGATATCTCCCTGCAGTGAGGTCTGTCATCTGTCTGATGGGGAACGTGGTCTTGTTCCCCGGATCCTGTAGCTTTCGTTCTTCCCAGGGTGCTCGGCTTCCTTCTTTATCCAGATGGAACTCCTGGGCCTGCAGGGACGCCTGACACCACATGGTCACAGGGCTCAACTGGGAGATCACAGGGCCTGGCTCAGCCCAGAGGGTGGGTTTGGGGAGGGTCCCTGGAAGGAATCAGAACCTGAGTCACAAGACATTTCCACCCCCAGTGCCCAGATCGCAGCCCCAGAACCTTCCCTTATGTCCCCATCCATTAACCAAGAACTTAGGTTTTCCATGCACAGCTGCCTCATGAGGAAACACCTTGTCCTTTATGTGGAGAGGGACATGGGGATCCCTGGGGACAGACTCACCTGCCTGCACTGGAGTGCTCAGGCCCAGGCTCAGCCCTGCAAGAGAGTCCCTGTGAGAGATTTGCCCTGAGTCCTGAGCAGAACCCTCCTCCCCAGGAGCCTCCTGAGCCCTGGGGTCCTGACAGAGCAGGGCTTCCCCTCCCCCTCACATCTCACCCAGACAGAGCAGGGCCATGAGGGTGGGGGGCATGGTGTCTCCTCTCTGAACCAAGCTGTGCAGAAGGAAGAGACCAGGGTGTCCTGAGGGTGATAGACACATAGGGCGTGGTCACTGGGAGGTTGGTCATCTCTCACCAGGTTGCCACGTCAGTAGCCTGTAAGGAAGGGTACGGTGTCTCCCCAGGAGTCCACCATCATTCTCATGATGGAGGAAGAAATAGACCCAGAGCCTCCTGAGAGGCTCCTTGCAGGTGAGGTGACCCAGAGCATGTCCTTCCAGGTCAGAGCCTCCCCCAAGGGGCCCCGTCATTCTCTGCCAGCTTTCAGTACCTCCTTGTGGTTCTTCCCCTGGACAGTGGGCATCCAGTTACAGGAGACGCGTCAGGAAGACGGGGGTCCCTGTGCCCGCAGAGCTCAGCTCAGCAGAGACACTGTCCCCTCCTCACTGTGCAGTTCAGGCGAGTGTCACTGTGACAATGAGCACAAAGAACAGACACAGGGAGATAGGGAAGGAAACACACCCTTCCCCTGGCCCCAGAGTGTGGCTTTCTGTTTATCCCAGCCACCCTCATCGACTTCTTGTTTTTTCTCTTTTTTAAAATATATTTTATTATGCCATTACAGTTGTCCCATTTCCACCCCTTCATTCCCCTCCACCCTGCACACTCCCCCCACCCACATTCCCCCCTTTAGTTCACATCCAAGTTTTTTGTGTTTTTTTAGTATTTCTTTTTTTATTTTAATTAATTTTATTTAGTTATTTTTCAAGTACAGTTTTTGTCTATTTTTCCCATCCCAGCCTCCCCCGCCCCTTGCTCCCCACCTCCCTCCCATTTCCACCCCCCTTAGTTCTCGTCCCTGTGTCCTTCCTATTTGTTCCTCAAAATCCCTCCCCCTTTTCCCCCTTAACTTCCCTTCCTTCTCCTCTCTGGTCACTATCCCCTTGTTCTCTATTTCAGTGTCTTTTTTTTTCTACTTGCTTGTTTGTTTTGTTGTTTAGCTTCCTGTTAAAGGTGAGATCATATGGTATTTGTCTTTCAGCACCTGGTCTATTTCACTCAGCATAATGCTTTCCAGTTCCATCCATGTTGTTGCAAAAGGTAGTAGCTCCTTCTTTCTCTCTGCTGCATAGAATTCCATTGTGTATATGTACCATAATTTTTTGATCCATTCATTTACTGATGGACACCTAGGTTGCTTCCAACTCTTGGCTATTGTAAATTGTGCTGCTATGAACATTGTGGTGCATAGGTTCTTTGATATGATGTTTTAGGATTCTTAGGATATAATCCCAGCAGTGGAATTGCTGGGTCAAAAGGCAGGTCAATTTTTATTTTTCTGAGAAAATTCCATACTGTTTTCCATAATGGTTGTACCAGTCTGCAATCCCACCAACAGTGAATTAAGGACCCCTTTTCCCCACAACCTCTCCAACATTTGTTGTTTGTTGCTTTGTTTAGGATAGCCTTCCTGACTGGTGTAAAGTGGTATCTCATTGTGGTTTTAATTTGCATCTCTCTGATAGCTAACGATATTGAGCATCTCTTCATGTGTCTCTGGATGTTCTGTATGTCCTCCTTGGAGAAGTGTCTATTCAAGTCCTTTTCCCATTTTTTAATTGGGTTGGGTGTCTTCTTAGAGTGGAGTCGTGTAAGTTCTTTGTATATTTTGGAGATTAAGTTATAAGTTCTTTAGCTTCTTCATTTCCCATACTATTCTTGCCCTCCCCCTATCTATTTTGTGCCTACCATCTATGCTACTTATTCTCCGTACCTTCTCCCCTCTTCTTCTCCTCCCACTCCTCTGTTTCTAACACTACTTGTGATCTTCATGTCTATGGTTCTGCTCCTGATCTAGCTGTCCGCTTAGTTTGCTTTTGTTTTAGGTGTGGTTGTTAATAACTGTGAGTTTGCTGTCCTTTCACTGTTCATGTTTTTTTAACTTCTTTTTCCTAGATAAGTCCCTTTAACATTTCATATAATAAGGGCTTTGTGATGATGAACTCGTTGAACTTGACCTTATCTGAGAAGCACTTTATCTGCCCTTTCATTCTAAATGAAAGCTCTGCTGGATAGAGCAATCTTGGTTGTAGGTCTTTGGATTTCATGACTTGAAATACTTCTTTCCAGCCCCTTCTTGCCTGTAAGGTCTCTTTTGAGAAGTCAGCTGACAGTCTGATGGGGACTCCTTTGTAGGTGACTGTCCCCTTAGCTCTTGCTGCTTCTAGAATTCTCTCCTTCATTTTAATCTTGGGTAATGTTAATGATGAGGTGCCTTGGTGTGTTTCTCCTTGGGGTTCCCCTTCTTTGGGACTCTGTGAGCTTCCTGGGCTTCCTGAAAGTCTATTTCCATTGCCTGATTGGGGAAGTTCTCGTTTATTATTTGTTCAAATAAGGTTTCCACTTGTTGCTCTTCCTGTTCCCTTTCTGGAACCCCTATAATTCGAATGTGGGAATGTTTAAATTTGTCCTGGAAGTTCCTAAGCCTCTCCTCATTTTCTTGAGTTCTTGCTTCTTCATTTTTTCCTGTTTGGTCATTTCTTTCTCCCTTCTGGTCCACTCCATTCTTTTTAGTCCCAGACGTGTTTCCACCACTATTGGTTCCCTGTGCGATTTCCTTCATTACACTTAGTGTAGACTTCATTTTTTCATCTAATTTGCAACTAAAATCAACCAGTTCTGTGAGCATCCTGATCACCAGTGTTTTGAACTGTGCTTCTGATAGGTTGGGTATCTATTGGTCACTTAGAAGTATTGGCTCTGGGGCTTTTAGCTGTTCTTCTGCTTGAGCCATAATATTTTGGTCTGTTAGTGCCTGTTACATATGAGAGGCGGGGGGCTTAGGTGTTCACCAGGGCAGGGCAACCCAGTCACAGGCTTGTGAGTGGGGACCGGGTCAGAGAGGGAGCTATGGTGTTTCGTCCACTCTCTGTCAGATTTCGGTCTTCTCTGCTGCTTCCCACAAGCAAATTGGACCCTTGTGGTGCTGGTTCCTGGGTGGGTGGGCTTGTGTATGTTCTACAACCCTATGGGTCTCTCCAACTCACTCTCCTGTGAGGCTGGGAGCCTCTCCTGGCACCTCAACCCCTGAAAGTTTCTCCAATTGGGCTTTTAGGCTTTAATTCCCGTTGCTGGGGCCCTGGGTTATGCGGTCTGTCTCACTGCTCGTTCCTTTGCCTGGTTTATCTGCAATAATAAACCGTGTGAATGTGTGACTGGGGTCAGCCAGCTGCCTTGTGCCCTCATTGGGTCTGCCCATTGCCACCCCAAACCTGGGATCTGCCAACTACCGCCTGTGAGCCTGAGTTCGTCTGGCCGCTTTTTCCTGCCGCCATCCCTCTCTGCCAGCCGCCCACTCTGTCTCTCTTACCAGTCCATATGAATGATTCGTTGTTGTTCGACTTTGGTACAGTTCAATTTTCTGTTTTGGTTGTATTTTTTCTAACTCTTTGTTCTTTTTAAACCTGGTTGTGCGATAAGGTACATTATTTCACCTACGTCTCCATCTTGGCCATCGTTTTATGTTGTCAACAGTGTCCACCCACCTTCCTGGGGACAAGCCTCTGAGTGACCCCTGCCCCCTCAGTGCCCTTGTTTCCTGGTTCAAACCTGCTCCTCAAGCTGTGGTCCTGCCTACAAGCTTCAGGGGACATTGATTTGGGTTAGAGTCCTGATTTTTACTTAAAGCAGATATTTACTTAAATACCCATCATCCAATGTCCATGTGTTCTCGAGTGGTAATGTCCAATCTCTGTCTCAGTCTCCTCATCTAGATTCTGTTGTCACAAAGCCCAGTCCCCGCAGAGGCTGTGGGTCAGTGGTGCTGGTTCATGGGAGGGAGGCTTCCACTTCCAGACCAGATGAGGACGTGAGTGGGCTGGGACATGAGAGGATCAAGGTGTCCAGGGTCAAGGGCAGGGTGGTAGCACCCACTTGACACCTTGTTTTCTCTGAATACCAAGCACAACTACTCATAATAGCTCTACATTATGTAGTCATGGACATGTCTAGGAAAGAGATGAAATTTACACAAATGAAGAAAGAAGCCTAGTGGAGAACAGAGACTGAAAATGATGGCCCATGTGACTGGGACCAACCATGAGTCATAGGGAGGAAATTCCCCCCTGAGTAGACACAGAGAGACCCCAGGTGTGGCGGACCCTGTCCAGAAGATTCCACCTGTTGTGGCTGATGATAAGAATGAATGCACAGGTGACAACAATCCTGTGGAGAGAAAGGGAACAGGCACGAGTACTCTCTCAAGGGGAGAGTGCTTATGGGTGCCTCGGCCACTCCCTCAAGAGGGGAGCACCTCGACCCTTGCCTAGACAGCCTTTTATTGTTTTCCTGGGGTCTTACATGAGAGAAAGATTTATTATCTATTACATAGAATATTATTGTCTACATTTTAGGTAAAACCAAGAAAGTGAAAATAACATGCAGAGGGGAATGGCGATGAGTTGATTAGTTCTGCCCTTGGGAGAACTCATACAGGCTTTGGATATTATCTTGAAGATAGACAATACACATTTGTTGTTTTAGACCAGGGCCATGGAGTTTTAGCAAGAGCAAGACATAACAATCTGTATGCATTTTCTAGGCCTGATTCCCATGGGAAAACTCAGTTTGTGGGTCTGGCTCTTACCCACCAGATTGCTTCTGTAGGTTTTCCATACAGAGCTGAGTCCCATTTGCCAGGCCAAAACAAACTGGTACCCTAGAGTGGAAAATATGAGAGTAATGGAAGCTGATCACATGCAAATATCTGAAAAATAAAGAGATGATTCAATGATTTGAGCCAGGAATGTGAATTGTTTTACCGAAGACTATAACGAGTTAGAAATCTGACAGATGGACAACCCAATAGATGGACACATTGAAACAATTACTCCCATCATGGATGAGACAGAGCTGAAGGTCTAATCATGAAAGTAGAGTACAATATTGAGGACATTTCTAGAAAACATCAATGGGAGACCAGAAGTCGAGAATGTAGGTACCAGGGATTAGATGGAAGGGGGCCAATGTCATATTGATCATGTCAGAAGGAAAGAAGTGAGCATGATATTTAGTAACAGCTCCAGACATGAATATTCAAACGTTTTACAGAGATGTGGGAAGACCAGCTAGTGAGAGAGGGCATGTATGCAAAATTGAAATCTGTGTTTTCACTTAGTGGTGAATGAAGAAACTGAAGGCTAATAAAAATGCAAAACCATATTCTACACTGCATTGTATACATTCAAGAGGTTCATTTTAAGCCCTAGCTGGTAGTTCAGTTGGTTAGGGCATTGTCCCAGTGTGCTAAGGTTGTGGGTTTGGTTCCCAGCCAGGATACACACAAGATGCAAATGATGAGTGCTCCATGAGTAGAACAAGTCTGCCTGCCTGTCTGTCTGTCTGCCTCTTTCTTTATCTCTGTTTGTGTGCATGTGTGTGTGTGTCTCTCTCTCTCACATCTATAAGAATGGTGGTGGAGAAATGAAGAAACTCAACTTTAACAATAATAGTACATGTAAAAAGAATAAAGAAAGGAAAAAAATTAAATCTGATTAATTTAATTTTATGTGCATTTCAACTTAAATGGCCTGGGATCCTGAGTTACTTCCTAGAAAATGTGAATATCACCATAGTGACAAACTGGCTGGGACCAGACTTCCTCATAGCAAAGAGTGACACCAGAAGACAGTGGGGACACACCTTCCAGGAGCAGACTGTAGTGAAGATTGTGCACTGAGCCCCATTAGCTTTAAGGGACAAGGTGAATGTGTCAGCCAGGCCAGTCCCTAAGTGGGAACCTGTGTGTCCTCCCAACCCCACCCAGTGAGGCTGTGTCTCCAGGACAGAGAACGGATTTCTGGGGTGAGAGCCTTAACCACAGGGGGCGTGTTTTTCCTCTTTGAGGAGTGAATCACACACTTTAATTGAAATAGTAAAGTGTTTCCTAGTCACTTGATGAAGAAAATAAGACTGGAATAAGACACTTCCAGAGCAGCATGTTTTTAGATATGGTCCTATTTTCACACTTGTTGAAAGGAACAGTAATTTAGTTAGAAGAACAAAGACAACAAACTAGAGAAAGTGAGATGCAACAGCAAAGGAAAATGGAAAAAACAAAATCGAGGGAAAAATGCTTAATCTCTATCATGTGATCTACAAACTTACATAATATTTGATGTCAACTGTATTGAAAAGCAAAGCTTATATACAAAAGGAAGAAATGATGTCATTTGCTACATGGATGTATCTGAAGGACAAGGGAAATAAACAGTCACAAAACAAAAAAACAAAGCCAAACCCACAGACACTTTCATCAAGCACATCACCCCACCTCACCCCACCCAACTTGCAAGTCACCTGAGATGGTTCCAGTGGCTTTTCCATGTCCATGGCCCCTCTTGTCTCATGCTGCAGACTTTCCAGAAATCTCTCAAAACGGTAGCAACTGACCCCTAATCAGTGTCCTAGGAAATGGCACATAGGTACACATGTTCTCTAAGGCAGGTACTTAAAGGTACAGCTGTGTGTCTCTAACTGGGTAAGTCTAATGTATTTGGTGAATTGTTGAGTATAAGTAGCCCTCCTCCAAGTGATGCACTAGAATTCTATCAGCTCAGTGTTCTCTACCCTGAGGGATAGAAGGATTTTCTCCTTGGCATCTCATCTTGGTGGGTTGGGACTGTGGTCTTGTACTTTTGTGAAAAATCAGTTACAACATTTGTAGCTGAACAGAAGTCCCACAACTGCTTCTACATTGAAGTGGAAGTGATCATTACACGTAAAAGGGCAGGCATCTTAGGTGAACTCTGGGGCTGTCAGACTGTTGTTACTGGTGTCCCACATTGGCTTGTACTGTCTGTGAAAGTCGGTTGTGAGTCACTCACTTTCCGACCCTGCATCAAGACCTCACAGGGGGGACTTCCGCCAAGATGGAGGCAAAGGTGGATGTGCCGTGCCTTCTCACACAACCAAGTTTAGAGACAACTAAATATTAGCAACAGAAAACACAGCCAGAAAACGGAACATTGAACTTTTCGGAAGTCCGTTAACAACAAATTCTTCAGCCTGACCGGTAAGGGGTGAAACCAGCGGCTGGTGAAGCGGGGTTGCACAGGAAATTCGGTCAGATGGACTCAGGCAGGTGGAATCCAGACGCGTGGAATCCAGGCGCAGGGTTGGACCTAGTGAGCGACCAAGCGAGCGACCAGGCGAGCGACCGCCGGGGAGACAACGGGGGAGCGGTCCTGCGTGTTGACTGTGGTCGCGCATTTGTGTGGGGGTGGACAGGTGAGGGAGTGGGCGGTTGGACCAGGGCCCGGCGGGTCCCAGCGGCAAGCGGCAGGGAGGGCACCGCCATTTCCCTGCTCCGACCTCACCTCCACATACAAACGTCATAACCCAGCGACTCTGAGTGGCCCGGCCCAGGTGAACCACCTAAGGTGCTGCTCCTCACCCACCTGTGAGAGACAGCAGAGGGGGTCGCCATTTCCCCGCTCTGACCACGCCCCCACATATAGCGTCACAACCCAGCAACCTGGGAGTACAAGGCGCCCCTTCTCACACTTAAAGGGCGCGAACAGACCAAAAATGGCGCAAGAAGATCTCAAAGCCCCAGAACCTATAGATCTAAGCGATGAAGAAATAGCAAAACTCTCAGACCCACAGTTTAAAACGTTGGTGATCAGGATCCTCACAGAACTGGTTGATTATAGCCACAAATTAGACAAATATATGAAGGCGAAACTAATTGAAATGAATGGAATTGCACAGGACACCAATAGCAATGAAAAGGAAACTGGGACTCAAATCAATGGAGTGGACCAGAAGAAAGCAAATAATGGCCAAACAGAAGAGTCAGGAAGCAAGAATTCAAAGAAATGAGGAGAGTCTTAGGAACCTCCAGGACATCTGTAAATGCTCCAACATCCGAATTATAGGGGTACCAGAAGGGGGAAAGGCACAACCACCAGTGGAAAACTTATTTGAACAAATAATAAAGGAGAATTTCCCCAATCTGGCAAAGGAAATAGACTTCCAGGAAATCCAGGAAGCTCAGAGAGTACCAAAGAAGTTGGACCCAAGAAGGAACACACCAAGGCACATCATCATTACATTAGCCAAAATTAAAATGAAGGAGAGAATCCTAGAAGGAGCAAGAGCTAAAGGGACAGTCACCTACAAAGGAGTCCCCATCAGACTGTCAGCTGATTTCTCAAAAGAGACCTTACAGGCAAGAAGGGGCTGGACGGAGGTATTCCAAGTCATGAAAACCAAAGACCTACAACCAAGATTGCTCTATCCAGCAAAACTTTCATTTAGAATGGAAGGACAGATAAAGTGCTTCTCAGATAAGATCAAATTCAAGGAGTTCATCATCACCAAGCCCTTATTATATGAAATGTTGAAGGGAATTATCTAAGAAAAAGAAGTTAAAGAAACATGAACAGTGAAAGGACAACAAACTCACAGTTATTAACAACTACACCTAAAAGAAAAGCAAACTAAAAGGACAGCTATATCAGGAGTGGAAACATAGAAATGAAGATCTCAAGGAGGGTTAGCAACAGAGGAGTGGGAGGAGGAGAAGGGGGGAGAAGGGGGGAGAAGGTACAGAAAATAAGTAGCATAGACAGTAGATAGAAAATAGATGGGGGAGCAAGAATAGCATGGGAAATATAGAATCTAAAGGACTTGAGACACATGGTCATAAACTAAAGGGGGGGGGTAATGGTGGGGATGGGGGGTAGGGTGGATGGGAATGAAAGAGGGAATAGAACAACTGTAACAGCATAATCAATAAAAGAATTAAAAAAAAAAGACCTCACAGGGGCACCTCAGTGTTGGCCACAAAGGGACCATAGATACCGGAAAACACAAAGTGCCATGAACCAGTGCTTTATTAAGGGAAATTCATTGGGATGACATGAATAATGGAATTGTATAGGTTTCAATGTACAATTCTCTAAGGCATCATCTGGATACTGCACCGTGTTTTTAACAGTGGGTTTTCCCAGGCAGTGCAACCCAGGGGATCCCTTCAAACAAACACGTCTTCATTTCCCCCAGGCTGGTGTGGCTGCATTGGTTGGAGCACCGTCCCATAACCAAAAGTTTGTGATTTCAGTCCCCAGTCAGCTCATATACATATATTACAAGTTCAATTCCCTGTTAAGGCACATATGGTAGGCAATTAACCGATGTACCTTTCTCCCACTGAGATTTCTCTCTCTCTTTGTTCTCTTTAAAAACAGCAATGTAAATACCTTTGCTTCCAAGGGTAGAACAATAGCCTTGATACCTTGTGAGGAGGTTCCTGGAGAAAGCCCCCAGGAGCCATCTGAGGAAAGTTGAAGACATGTGGGGTTGAGAGAGGGTGCTAGGACACCATTTGGGATTTATCTCTTGTGAGCTGAATGTTTGCGATGCCAGCTCATGGGTTTATTGAAATAGATGTCATGCTGTGCACTGAGTGGATGGACACTCCATAGAAACATGAACGCAGGTGGAATTAGACATAAAGAAGAACGAGTTTACTGAAAGTGTAGGGAGGTGTGGCCCTGACCATGCCATGTGGGATCAACGCTAATTTAACTGAAATGGGAAAAGGTAGGAATCGGTCACATGACTCAACAATGGTTGGGAGGAGAAGGGCAGAAGTTAATGGCAGAAGGGTCCAAAGATTGTCTCCGTGCATATGAGCAATGAGTCCTCCCCCTGCATATGAGCAATAAAACGAGTCCTCCATGGGCGGTGAGTTGCAGACACCTCATACAGCATGTCCCAGATTATTTTCCACAACCTTCTGGGCACACGACTTCATTTCCAAGTCTCTCCCACTCTGAGAGATGCCCCTTTACTTCTGTGTTCTGGTCCTGGTGGCAGCCTGGGCCATTCTCTCGCTGTCTCGAGCCTGAGACAGCAGCACCCCGAGGACCAGCAGGACCAGCAGAGCCACGCCCATGCGGATGAGATTCCCCACTGTGTGGTCCTGGGGGCGGGAGTCTAGGAAATGTGGACAAACAGGTCACAGAGGTCATAGCAGACAAAGTTAGCTCTGGATCCTGGAAGCCCACTCAGCACACCAGTCTCCCCCTGACAGACAGGACCCTCTGCACCAGCCCCACAACTGAGGACTCTCCTACTCACCACTCGAGTTGTCTGAGCTGTTGTGTGAGGGGCCGATGGTGTCGGCTGCTCCTTGAAACACATAAAGAAGTGGGTGCGTGAGGAGTTGATGCCGCTCAAACCAACTGTCCTCAAAACTCTCCCGTTCCTCATTACGTGACTATTTCCAGCCCCTTCTCCAATCCTCTCTCTGCAATGGGGGTCCTGTCTGCTGTCATGGGTTCTGCCAGTCCCCTGGGGACTTCTGAGTATAGACTTTGGTCTTGAGACCCTTTGGGACATAGATTGTCTTTTTCCTGAGAATTCAGTTTTGGTGAATAATGTGGTCTCTCATTACAGATCAGAGGATGTCCTTGTAATCTCTCTCTTCACAGTGGGAGACTGACCATCCAAACTCTCCTCTGGAGATGAGAGGTTTTATTTATTCAGCAGCTGAGAACTCAGCATCCATGGGTGGGTCTCATCTATACAAACAGACATATATGTGGTACTCGAACAATTCCAGGGCTCTGAGTAGATCATTTTATGAGTAAAACTTCAAAATGCATCTAAAGTCAAAAATAAACCTTTTAGAGCATGTGTAAAGAGGTTCTTAATAATGAAAGTTTGCATTCATAATAGATGGGCGAATTTAACATAATTCCAGTGAAAATGAAAATAGAATTACCTTTCTGAAGTCAGAAATGTTTGTACCTCAAATTTACACATGCAAGTACTGCCTAAGAATTGTGAGAAAGGAGCAGGAACAGACAGGGGCCCCCAGAGCTACGGAGCAGACAGGGGAGCCCTGAGTGTGGGCTGGAGCCCCCAGCTCCCCCTGAGCCTGGCACAGCCCCTCCTCACTCTCAGGTGAGCACTGAGTGCTGGAGGCTCCAGGTGAGCCCAGGGGCCTGCAGAGCTGGGCTCCCAGGGAAGGGGGGACCCCAGGGGCTCAGACTCTGAGATGAAGATGCAGGAGGTGAGCGGGGGAGGGGATCTGTGTCCTCTCTGCTCAGTCTAATCACCTTTCTCCTCACTTCTCACACCTCCCTCCTCTCTCCTGCTCTTTCTCTCTGCTGAGATTCAGAAAAGGGGGCTCAGGGGTGGGAGGCCCCGTCTCTTTCCACCTCTCAGCACCTGGACCCCCTCTGTGGAACCTCTACATTCCTCATGTATTTCTGTCCCCGAATCTCCTAGGGACAGGGCCCAGTGAGAGTACAGAGGACAGGGTCAGGGGCCTCACCTGAGACCAGGAGCTCCAGGGGGTCACTGGGCTGTGACAGCAGGTAGGGACTGTTGCGGTTTGTGCTGTAGCACCTGTAGGTCCCCCCGTGGGCCAAGGTCACAGGACCCATGGAGAACTCTGCCTGGTGCTTCTGAGCTCGGGACTGTGAACTGAGACGCAGGGGGGGATTGGCTACCCCCTCCTTGGTCAGAAGGAAAGTGTTACTCCTTCTCCGTGACTGACACAGCAGGGTCACATTCTCTCCTGAGGCCACCACGGGGCCCGGCTGCACCGAGAGGGAGGGTCTGTCAGGGAGCCATCCTAGAGAGAGGGGGGCAGGTCAGGGGCTGCTGCCCACCATGTCCTGACCTGAGAGTCACCAGGCCCCTTTCTGTCTGTCTCTGGTTTCTCTGCATCTCCCCTCCCATCCTCTGTCTCTCTCCTTAGGGACCCCACACCCCTTTGTCCTGGCCATCACCAAGTCAGACCCCCAGCAGGGCCTGAGCAGACTCTGAGTCCCCGAGTGAACCCACTGGCTCCTCACCTGCCACCAGGATGTCCAGGGGGTCACTGGGGGCTGACCACTCAGAGGAGAGGTTGTGTCCACCATAGCACCTGTAACGGCCCCCGTGGGAGGTGCTCACAGCGTCCAGGAGAAAGTTGGCCTGAGAGAGCCCAGCCTGGGGCTGCAGGGCATTGATCTGGGGGAGGCCCTGTCCCCCTTCCTTGGACAGAGCAAATCTGTCATAGCTGATGCCAGAGAGACACTGGAGGGTCAGGCTCTGTCCATAGGCCACGATGGGGCCCTGCTGGGTCAGGAGGGAGGGCTTCCCTGAGCCACCTGGGAGGACCAAACAGAAAGGATAAGGCTGGTCCCTTTATGAACTTTCCTCCTGTACTGACCCCCAGGTCCCCCTGTCTTTCTCTCTGTCCTCCCCTCACCTCCCACATGGGGTTCCCCTCCCTACAAAGACCCCAGTAACCTTTCTATAGACTCAATCCACGCAAGAGGCAATATAGAGATTTTTTTTTTACCTTGGATCAGGAGCTCCAGGGGGTCACTGGGCAGTGACCACAACTGGGATGTGTTCCTGTAACAACCATAGCATCTGAATGTCCACCTGTGGTTGGGGTTCACGGGGCCCACAGGGAACAGGGCCTGGACCTGCCACCTGGGGTGTGGCTGTGAGTCCAGGGTCCAGAAGAGCCTGTCCTCTCCTTCCTTAGTCAGAATGAACCTGTCAAATCTCTCCCATGAGCCACACTGGAGGGTCGCTTTCCCTCCTGAGGTCACAACAGGACTGGGCAGGGCTGAGAGGCTGGGTTTGCTGTAGACTCCTAGGAGAGGAGGAGTCAGCATGTTAAATGGGGCTCACACCTCCCTCACATCTCCCAGGGCTGGGCTGTGAGGAGGAGACCCCCTGAAAGTATCCCCCTTTCTGAGGGCAGAGCCTGAGGCTGGGACCCCTGAGTGTCCCCTCACCTGTCACCACCAGCTCCAGGGGATCACTGCGGTCTGACCAGACACCTTGGCTGACATATGAACACTGATATCTCCCTGCAGTGAACTCTGTCATTTGTATGATAAAGAACTTGACATTCTTCCTGGGATACTGTGATATCTGTCTATCCAAGGTTGCTGGGCTTCCATCTTTATACAAATGGAACTCCTGGGCCTGCAGGGGCCCCTGACAGCAGATGGTCACTGAGCTCCCCCAGGGGATCACAGGGCCTGGTTCTGCCCAGAGGGTGGGCTTGGCGAGGGTCCCTGGAAGGAGTCAGAGGTGGGGTCAGAAGTCATTTCCACCCCCACTGCCCAGATCACAGCCCCAGGACTTTCCCTGACGTCCCCCATCCATTAACCCAGAACTTCTTTTTCACCCACAGCTGCCAGATGGAGAAGCCCTTTGTCCTTTATGTGGAGAGGGACATGGGGCCCCTGGGGACAGACTCACCTCCCTGCACTGGGGTCTTCAGGCCTAGGCTCAGCCCTGCAAGAGAGTCCCTGTGAGAGATTTGCCCTGAGTCCCGAGCAGAACCCTCCTCCCTAGGAGCCTCCTGAGCCCTGGGGTCCTGACAGAGCAGGGCTTCCCCTTCCCCCTCACATCTCACCAAGGCAGAGCAGAGCCATGAGAATGGGGGGCATGGAGTCTCCTCTCTGAACCCAGCTGTGTAGAAGGTAGAGACCAGGGCGCCCTGAGGGTTACAGGCACATAGGGTGTGGTCACTGGGAGGATGCCCTTCTGTCACCAGATGACCACATCAGCAGCCCCTGAGGTAGGAGGACAGTGTCTCCCCCCAGGAGTCTGCCTCTCATTCTTATGATGGCGAAAGAAATAGACCAGAGCCTCCTGAGAGGCTCCTTGAAGGTAAGGTGACCCAGAGCATGTCCTTCCAGGTGAGAACCTCCCCCAGGATGCCCATTCATCCTCCTCCAACTTCCAGTACCTCCTTGTGGGTCCTCCCCATGCACAGTGGTTACTCAGGTTCTGCAGATGCTTCAGAAAGACTGGGGTCCCTGTGTCTGCAGAGCTCAGCTCAGCAGAGACACGGTCCCCTCCTCACTGTGCAGTTCAGGCAAGTGTCACTGTGACAATGAGCACAAAGGATAGACACAGAGGAATAGAGGAAGGAAACACACCCTTCCTCTGGCCCCAGAGTGTGACTTTCTTTCCATACCAGCCACCCTCCCTGACTTCTCATTTTTTCTCAGCGACAGCATCCACTCACCTTCCTGGGGACAAGCTTCTGAGTGATCCCTGCCCCTCTGTGCCCTTGTTTCCTGGTTCAAGCCTCCTCCTCATGCTGTGGTCCTGCCTACAAGCATCACAGGACCTTGATTTTGGTTACAGTCCTATTTTTTACTTACAGCAGATATTTACTTAAATACTTGTCATCCAATGTCCTTGTATCCTTGAGTGGTAATGTCCAGTCTCTGCCTCAGTCTCCTCATCTGGATCTTGTTGTCACAAAGCCCAGTCCCCACAGAGGCTGTGGATCAGTGGTGCTGGTTCATGGCAGGGAGGCTTCCATTTCCAGACCAGATGAGGACGTGAGTGGGCTGGGACATGAGAGGATCAAGGTGTCCAGGGTCAAGGGCAGGGTCGTAGCACCCACTTGACAGCTTGTCTTCTCTGAATACCAAGCACAGCTACTCACAATAGCTCTCCATTATGTAGGCATGGACATGTCTAGGAAAGAGAGATGAAATTCCACAAATGAAGAGGGAAGCACAGTGGAGAACAGAGACTGAGACTGAGTCGACCCCCATGACAAGGACTACGCACAAATCACAGGGAGGAAATTTCCTCTGCCTCAAGTGGACAGGGAGGGACCCCAGGTCCTCACCGTTAGAGGGTGTGGGAGCAGGTGAAGGCTGGAAGTGTGGTCCCTGCCCCATGTTTCTGTGTGGGCTCTGGGATTCCTCTGCCCACTCACCCAAATTCATGGTCAGCAGTGAGCAGTCTGTCCTGTGTATCCTGAAACAGACTGAATCTAGTAAGTCAGCCAAGAATGTCTGTCTCATGAGTGTGTGTGAGGTTCTCATGGACCAGCCCTGGTGGGCAGAACGCTGAGGTGATGCTGAGCATAAGAGAGTGGACTGCATGGGGCAGAGGCAGCTGCCATTGCCCCTGGTCAGCCTGACTCCCAGGACAGCCCTGGAGAATCTGAGGGAGACCAGGTGTGTGAGGGGAAAGATTCCTACAAGAGTGGACAGTGCAGAAATTCTAATGATGACAGACAGAGCTATGGATGCCCTCTACTGACACTGGGGACTGTCACAGGCAATGAAAGAGAGTCAGTAGGAAACATGAGAGCAATGGAAGCTGATCACATGAAAATATCTGAAAAATAAAGAGATGATTCAATGATTTGAGCCAGGAATGTGAATCGTTTTACAGAAGACTATAATGAGTTAGAAATCTGACAGATGGACAACCCAATAGATGGACACATGAAAACAATTACTCCCATCATGGATGAGACAGAGCTGAAGGTCTAATCATGAAAGTAGAGTATAATATTGAGGACATTTCTAGAAAACATCAATGGGAGACCAGAAGTCGAGAATGTAGGTACCAGGGATTAGATGGAAGGGGGCCAATGTCATATTGATCATGTCAGAAGGAAAGAAGTGAGCATGACATTTAGTACCAGCTCCAGACATGAATATTCAAACATTTTACAGAGATGTGGGAAGACCAGCTAGTGAGAGGGGGCATGTATGCAAAATTGAAATCTGTGTTTTCACTTAGTGGTAAATGAAGAAACTGAAGGCTAATAAAAATGCAAAACCATATTCTACACTGCATTGTATATATTCAAGTGGTTCATTTTAAGCCCTAGCTGGTAGTTCAGTTGGTTAGGGCATCGTCCCAGTATGCCGAGGTTGTGGGTTTGGTTCCCAGCCAGGATACACACAAGATGCAAATGAGGAGTGCTCCATGAGTAGAACAAGTCTGCCTGTCCGTCTGTCTGTCTGCCTCTTTCTTTATCTCTGTTTGTGTGCATGTGTGTGTGTCTCTCTCTCTCACATCTATAAGAATGGTGGTGGAGAAATGAAGAAACTCAACTTTAACAATAATAGTACATGTAAAAAGAATAAAGAAAGGAAAAAAATTAAATCTGATTAATTTAATTTTATGTGCATTTCAACTTAAATGGCCTGGGATCCTGAGTTACTTCCTAGAAAAAGTGAATATCACCATAGTGACAAGCTGGCTGGGATCAGACTTCCTCATAGCAAAGAGTGACACCAGAAGACAGTGGGGACACACCTTCCAGGAGCAGAGTGTTAGTGAAGATTGTGCACTGAGCCCCATTAGCTTTAAGGGACAAGGTGAATGTGTCAGCCAGGCCAGTCCCTAAGTGGGAATCTGTGTGTCCTCCCAACCCCACCCAGTGAGGCTGTGTCTCCAGGACAGAGAACAGATTTCCAGGGTGAGAGCCTTAACCACAGAGGGCGTGTTTTTCTCTTTGAGGAGTGAATCACACACTTTAATTGAAATAGTAAAGTGTTTCCTAGTCACTTGATGAAGAAAATAAGACTGGAATAAGACACTTCCAGAGCAGCATGTTTTTAGATATGGTCCTAGTTTCACACTTGTTGAAAGAAACAGTAATTTAGTTAGAAGAACAAAGACAACAAACTAGAGAAAGTGAGATGCAACAGCAAAGGAAAATGGAAAAAACAAAATTGAGGGAAAATGCTTAATCTCTATCATGTGATCTACAAACTTACATAATATTTGATGTCAACTGTATTGAAAAGCAAAGCTTATGTACAAAAGGAAGAAATGATGTCATTTGCTACATGGATGTATCTGAAGGACAAGGGAAATAAACAGTCACAAAACAAAAAAACAAAGCCAAACCCACAGACACTTTCATCAAGCACATCACCCCACCTCACCCCACCCAACTTGCAAGGCACCCAAGCTGGTTCCAGTGGCTTTTCCATGTCCATGTCCCCTCTTGTCTCATGCTGCAGACTTTCCAGAAATCTCTCAAAACGGTAGCAATTGACCCCTAATCAGTGTCCTAGTGAATGGCACAGAGGTACGCATGTTCTCTAAGGCAGGTACTTAAAGGTACAGCTGTGTGTCTCTAACTGGGTAAGTCTCATGTATTTGGTGAATTGGTGAGTATAAGTAGCCCTCCTCCAAGTGATGCATTAGAATTCTACCAGCTCACTGTTCTCTACCCTGAGGGACAGAAGGATTTTCTCCTTAGCATCTCATCTTGATGGGTTGGGACTGTGGTCTTGTACTTCTGTGGAAAATCTGTTACATTTGTAGCTGAACAGAAGTCCCACAACTGCTTCTACATTGAAGTGGAAGTGATCATTCCATATAAAATGGCAGGCATTTCAGGCACACTCTGAGGCTGTCAGACTGTTGTTACTGGTGTCCCACACTGGCTTGTACTGTCTGTGAAAGTCAGTTTGTGAGTCACTTCCCAGCTCTGCATCAGGACCTCACAGGGGCACCATGATGTTGACCACAAAGGGAACATAGACACCAGAAATGAGAAAATGCCAAGAACCAGTGTTATAATAAGGGAAATTCATTGGGATGACATGAATAATGGAATTGTATAGGTTTCAATGTACAATTCTCTAATACATTTTCTGGATACTGCACCGTGTTTTTAACAGTGGGTTTTCCCAGGCAGTGCAACCCAGGGGATCCCTTCAGTCAAAATGCCTTCATTTCCCCCAGGCTGTTATGGCTGTGTTGGTTGGAGCATCGTCCCATAATCAAAAGTTTGTGATTTCAGTCCTCGGTCAGCCATAAACCTAGATTGCAAGTTCAGTCTTCTGTCCAGGCACATATTGGAGGCAACCAATCAATGTACCTTTCTCCCATTGATGTTTCTCTCTCTCCTTTGCTCTCTCCCAAAAAAGTAATGTTAATACGTTTGCTTCCAAGGGTAGAACAATAGCCTTGATTCCTTGTGAGGAGGTTCCTGGGGAAAGTCCACAGGAGCCATCTGAGAAAAGGTGAAGGTGTGTGGTGTCCAGAGGTTGCTAGGGCACCATTTGGAATTTATCTCTTGTGAGCTGAATGTTTGTGATGCCAGCTCATGGATTTATTGAAATAGATGTCATGCTGTGCACTGAGTGGATGGACACTCCATAGAAACATGAAAGCAGGTGGAATTAGACATAAAGAAGAACGAGTTTTTTGAATGTGTAGGGAGGTGTGGCCCTGACCATGATCCCAGGTGGGATCAACGCTAATTTAACTGAAATGGGAAAAGGTAGAAATCCGTCACATGAGTCAGCAACAGTTGGGAGGAGATGGGTTGGATTTAATGGCAGAAGGGTTCAGACATTGTCCTGAATATGAGCAACGAGTCCTCCATGTGCAGTGAGCTGCATGCATGTCCCAGAAAATCTTCCAGAACGTTCTGGCCACACGACTTCATTTCCAAGTCTCTCCCACTCTGAATGGTTCTCCTTTACCTCTGTGTTCAGGTCTTGGTGGCAGCCTGGGCCATTGTCTCGCTGTCTCGAGCCTGAAATAGCAGCACCCCGAGGACCAGCAGGACCAGCAGAGCCACTCCCATGCGGATGAGATTCCCCACTGTGTAGTCCTGGGGGTGGGAGTCTAGGAAATGTGGACAAAGACGTCACAGAGGTCTCAGCAGACAAAGTCACCCTTGGATTCTGGATGCCCACTCAGCACACCAGTCTCCCCCTGACAGACAGGACCCTCTGCACCAGCCCCACAACTGAGGACTCTCCTACTCACCACTAGAGTTACCGGAGCTGTTGTGTGAGGGGCCGATGGTGTCGGCTGCTCCTTGAAAACCATAAAGAAGTGCGTGTGTGAGGAGTTGATCCCTCTCAAGCCAACAGTCCTCAAAACTCTCCTGTTCCTCATGATGTGACTGTTTCCAGCCCCTTCTTGAATTCTTTCTCTGCTGTGGGGGTCCTGTCAGTCTCCTGGGGACTTCTGAGTATAGACTTTGGTCCTGAGGCCCTTGGGACATAGATTGTCTTTTTCCTGAGAATTCAGGTTTGGTGAGAAATGTGGTCTCTCATTACAGATCAGAGGATGTCTTTGTAATCTCTCTGCTCACAGTGGGAGACTGACCATCCAAGCTCACTCCTCTGGAGATGAGACTCTATACTTGTTCAGCAGCTGAGGACTCAGTATCCATGGGTTACTCTCATCTATACACACAGACATATATGTGGTACTTGAAAAATCTAGGGCTCTGAGTATAGATGATTTTATGACTAAAACTTCAAAATGCATGCAAAGTAGAAGATACAACTTTTAACACGCTTAAAAAATCTCTTAATAGTAAATGGGCAAATTTAACACAATCATAGTTAAAAAGGTGTAGAGTTACCTTTGTGAAGACAGAAATGTTTATAACTCAAATTTATACATACAAGTACTGCCTAAGAGTTCTGAGAAAGGAGCAGGAACAGACAAGGGCCCCCAGAACCACAGAGCAGACAGGGGAGCCCTGAGTGTGGGGAGGAGCCCTCAGCTCCTCCTGAGCCTGGCACAGCCCCTCCTCACTCTCAGGTGAGCACTGAGTGCTGGAGGCTCCAGGTGAGCCCAGGGGCCTGCAGAGCTGGGCACCCAGGGGAGAGGAAGGTGCTCTCTGGTGGAGAGGGCCCAGTGTCAGGGCTGGGAAGGGGGACTCCAGAGGCTCAAACTCTGAGATGAAGATGCAGGAGGTGAGTGGGGGAGGGGATCTGTCCTCTCTGCTCAGTTTAATCACCTTTCTCCTCACTTCTCATACACCTCACTCCTCTCTCCTGCTCTTTCTCTCTGATGAAATTCAGAATAAGGGCTCAGGGGTGAGAGGTCCAGTCTCCTTCCACCTCTCAGGGGCTGGACCCCCTCTGGGGAGCCTCCTGCACTCCTCATTTATTTCTGTCCTCAATGTTCCTAGGGTCAGGACCCTGGGCTAAGTGAACACAGAAAGTATAGGGTCCGGGTCACCTCACCTAAGACCAGGAGCTCCAAGGGTTCACTGGGTTGTGACCACACCTGGGGGATTTTGCTGTAACAGCCGTAACATCTGAATGTCCACCTGAGGCCGGAGGTCACTGGGATCACTGGGCTCACAAGGAACAGGGCCTGGGACTGCCCACTGGGGTGAGGCTGTGAGTCCAGGGTCCAGGAGAGCCTGTCCTCTCCTTCCTTGGTCAGAATGAACCTGTCAAATCCCTGCCATGAGCCACACTGGAGGGTCACGGTCCCTCCTGAGGTCACAACAGGGCTGGGCAGGGCTGAGAGGATGGGTTTGCTGTAGTAGGAGAATCCTAGGAGAGTAGGAGGCAGCATGTTAAATGGGGCTCACACCTCCCTCAGGTCCCCCAGGGCTGGGTTATGAGGAGGAGACCCCCTGAGAGTATCCTCTTCCTGAGGGCAGAGCCTGAGGCTGGGACCCCTGAGTGTCCTCTCACCTGTCACCACCAGCTCCAGGGGATCACTGCGCTCTGACCAGACACCTTGGCTGAGATAATAACACTGATATCTCCCTGCACTGGGCTCTGTCATCTGTGTGATGGAGAACTTGGCCTTGTTCCCAGGATCCAGTGGCTTCTGTCTGTCCCAGGGTGTTGAACTTCCCTCTTTATGCAGACGGAACTCCTGGGCCTGCAGGGCCCCCTGACACCAGAGGGTCACAGGGCTCCCCCTGGGAATCACAGAACCTGGCTCAGCCCAGAGGGTGGGTTTGGGGTGGGTCCCTGGAAGGAATCAGAGGCTGGGTCACAAAATATTCATCCCCAGTCCCCAGATCACAGCCCTAGGACCCTCCCAGATGTCTCCCATCTGTCAGCCAAGGTCTGACTTTCTCCTTTTTTAATTTTACAAACACCTTTTTCTTTGTTTTTAGAGAGAGAGGAACAGAGGGAGAGAGCAAGCGTGAGAGAGGGAAACACTGATATCAGAAATGTCGGCTCCCTCTCCTGTGGTTCCCAAGCAGGAATTGAGCTCACAGTCCCTTCGCTTTGCTGGACGAGACCCATCCAGTGAGCCACCCGACAAAGGCTGGTCTTCTCCTCGTTTAGCTGATCAGGCTGCTCCCACTTCTCAATGAGAAAATAAAACCTCGTACTTCTGGGGACAGACTCACCTGCATGCACTGGGGTCTTCAGGCCCACGCTCAGCCCTGCAAGAGAGTCCCTGTGAGAGATTTGCCCTGAGTCCTGAGCAGAGCCCTCCTCCCCAGGGGCCTCCCGAGCCCTGGGTTCCTGACAGAGCAGGGCTTCCCCTCCTCCCTCACATCTCACCGAGGCAAAGAAGGGCCCTGAGGGTGGGGGGCATGGTGTCTCCTCTGTGGTTCTGGCTGTTTAGAAGGAAGAGACCATGGTGTCCTCAGAACAGGGAGGCAGACTGGGTGTGGCCACCGGGAGGCTGGCCCTACTTGTCACAGGGTTGTCACATCAGCAGCCCCACAAGAAGAGGAACAGTGTCTTCCCTTCCCAGAAGCCTGGTTGTTGTTTCCAGGGTCAAGCAGGAAATTGATCTGCAGCCCTTGCAGGTGAGGTGACCCAGGGCATGTCCTTCCAGGTCAGAGCCTCCCTCCCCAACAGGGTCTCCTTCCCCCTCAGCCCAACCATCAGCCCCTCCCCGTGGGTCCTTCCCATGCACAGTGGTCACCGGGCCCTGGAGACGTGTCAGAAGGATGGGGGTCCCTGTGCCTGCAGAGCTCAGCTCAGCAGAGACACTGTCCCCTCCTCACTGTGCAGTGCAGGCGAGTGTCACTGTGACAATGAGCACAAAGGGGAAACACAGGGAAATAGGGAAGGACACCCCCGCCCCGGGCCCCAAGGTGTGGGTTTTCTATTGCAACCACCTCAGGAATTTCTCATTTTTTTAGCTAGAGTGTCCACCCACACCTTCCAGGGAACAAGTCTGACTCATTCCTGCCTCCTCAGAGCCCTTCTCTCTCTTGGCCAGAGCTGTCCCCTCATCGTGCGGTCCTACCTTCTGCTCTTCCGCTTTTGGGGACAAAGAGTGAGTCAGTGTCCTAATTTTTGTGACAAAGCTCATTCTTGTTTAAATGCTCCTCCACCATCCCTTTGATATCGAGCAATAATATTGAATCTCTGAGCCTCAGTTTCTCCAAGGGAAACATGTTGTCATGAACCCCACTCCTCAGAGGGGATGCATGCATGGTGGTTATGCCTGGGTCCTGGGAGGGATCAATCCTCGTTGGTTTCTATATCTGATGGAGACGTGTGGGTTGGGACGTGAGCACATCAAAGTTTGTGACTCCACAGTCAAGGTGGACAATGGATACGCCCCCTCGGAAGCCCCCGCCTGCTCCTAATATCTGAAATATGCACCACCACACACTGCAGAAAAAGAGAAGCAAAAGTTCCCAATATCAGAGACGTCAACAACACATAAAACAGACCAGAGCTGAGTAGTTTCCACCGCCTGGGACAAACAAGGGGTCATTGGAGGCCTCACGCACAGGGAGGGGATTTGGAACAAGAAGAGCATCGGAAGCAGTTTCTCCCTCCCTACAATTAGGTAACAGACCCTGGAATATCTCTGCCCACGGACAGCCTGTGGTCAACACTGAGCCATGAGACCTGCGTGTGTGTGAAGCAGACTCCAGTCTAGTCTGACCTGTGCGTCTGTCCAGGCGTGAGTGTGAGACTCGCCTTGGAGCCATCCCTGCCAGGCACTGCACAGGTAGATGCTAAAGTTTGGGGAGTGCACACAGTGGGGAAGGCACTTAAGCCCTTTTGAATGAGAATATCAGGAGAGCCTTGGAAAAAAAAACTCTCCATGGACAAGTGGGTGTGAGGGAGGTGAGTGTTCCACAGAAATGGACATCAGAGAGATACCCACAGAATGCCACCTACTGGTGTGAAAGACTGTACAAGGTTTCCGAGAAAACACTAAGAATACCTAAAACTCAATTTTAAAGACTTTATTTATTTATTTTTAGAGGGGAAGGAAGGGAGAAAGAGAGGGAGAAAAACATCTGTGTGTGGTTGCCCCTCTCATGCCCCCTACTGGAGACCTGGCCTGAAATCCAGGCATGTGCCCTGACTGGGAATTGAACTAGCAACCCTTTGGTTTGTAGACCGGCACTCAATCCATTGAGCCACCAGCCAAGACTATACTAGTTTTTAAAAAATTTTTGTTTTGATCTTTCTTATTTTTGCTCCATGCACACATATGTTTTCTCTTATTCCAATCAAGTCTAATTTCTAATCTTTTTTTTGCTGCTGCATCTGGATTTTTAAGTACATACTATTTTTTAATGTAAACTTTTATTTTCCAGCTTTATTGAGATATAACAGAAATATAACTGAATTATGTTTTAAAACTCATGTTTCTTTCACAGGCTTCTGTTGCTCATTTATTTACCTATTTTACATTTAGAAGTATGGTTCTAATTTCCTCCTCTTTCCCCCAAGTCCATCTTTGTCCAGTAACACACAAAACTTCCATACTTGAACATACATCTGAACTTTATATTACGTTGCCCTTATCTATTACGTCCACATCAAATTGTTTTAATTACAGAGGACTAATAGTGTGATAGGGACCCCCTCCAAAAAAAAACAAACAGGAATTATCTTCTGGAAGGCAGGCCTCTTGTAGCATAGGCTTCCTCACTAGGTGAGTGTTCTAGGAACCCATCTGTATCAGTGTACCAGCTGATGCGGTTATGAAAGGCTGTGCTCAGCTTCAATGAGTTTGTTCTGAAGCCTAACACATTTGCCCATTTCACTGGGTGATTTACGAGCACTGATTGCCCAGTAGTTTTTTAACAGCAACAGCAGGACTTCAATGCCTCCTCACCCTCTCTAGTCACCTGATCTCACCCTGAGTGAGGTTTTTTTTTTTTTTTCCTGGATGAAAAAAGATCTCAAAGGGAATTGTTTTGCCAACGTGGAAGAGCTGAAACAAAAACAAAAAAAAGACAGAAGCACCAAAAAAGCATGAAAATCAACAAGTCCAAAAACTGTTTTGAGCAGTTAGGAAAACATCTTGATAGGGGTTGCCTCAAATGAAGAGTGGCTGAAGGTGGCTGAAATTTAAACATCTAAGAATAAATACACAATATTTTATAGATAAATTCCCCATTTTTTAGTGTCCCTCCTATACTTTAGTTTCTGGTTGAGCTAGTCCTTCCCTACCTTTACAGCTGTGCTTTGTTTTGGTGTTTTCTTACATTTTCTCAGATTTTTGTTTTCAATGTAGACTGTAGTATTAACTTCTTTAGTTCTTGGTATACTTTGTGGACTGAAGTACATTTATAACTTAAAATATGGGGAGATGATGTTGTTATGTGCTCAGTCATTGTTTCCAATGATAAAGGATTTGCCTATTATCATCATCACTCTTTTGCTGTTCAGAAGTGTTTTTAGAAAGGTATAAAAATGTGTTGGTAAGTTCTACACAGCCTGTATTACATTTATTCCTTAGAATTTTTAAGGTGAGCTTGTGATTAATTTGTGCATACAAAAGCTGTTGGTTCAAATAAATTAATATGATTTAAATGACTTATTTTATTTTTTTACTGTTGAGAGACTTTTATCATTGAGTCTCTTGGGCTTTCCAGTATACTTCCTTTAAATCCCTCCACATATCCCTCCCTGGTATTCAAAGTCTTCAGAAAACTAGCTCATCCTGCTTTTCCATCCCGATTGTCCATTCAATACCCCTACCAGTGTAGAACAACTACCAGTCCTATAAGGGCTCTTGCATTGCCAAAAATTCAGTAAAAAAAAAAAATGGCTGTAATCTATTTGAAGTCTTATAATACACCCTACCTTTTTTCTTGGCAACAAGCCTGGTTCCCAAATTCATTGAGAACCATACAATTTTTTGAAAATGCAAAAATTTTAAAGATGTGCTTCATTTGGAGGGCTTGTACTACTGCAAAATAATATTTCAAAAGCATGAAACAATAAGAATAAGCTCTAATTCTAGGGCAGGGTTTTAAGCATTGTCTGTAAGAGTGGATGGAACTGGATGACATGTTAGGGTAGCTGGCCCTTTGGTTTTGACCCTTTTTTTCCCTTGGGCTCCCAGAAAATTCTCACATGCTTCTTCCCATATCATAACTAGGTATGTACCCTATAGGCTCCTCTTATCTGAAGTCTCTGCTACCCCTTAATATAGTCAGGAAGGTCCAGTCAAAAGCCAATGTTCAATTCTTGCTCTGTCTCATTCAGACAGTTCCCTCAAATAGTTCAGAGATGATTTCTATCATTAGAGAGTTACTGTGTTAAGAACTGTGATTGTTCAATTTTTAAAACAACATTTTTTATTGAATCCATGGGATGTTGCCTGGAATGATCTGGAACTATGGCCTGTTCTGGGTGGGGATTAATCATGATTCAGCTGTGTTCTTGAAAGGGTGAGAGGACCTTCAAATTTCAGACTGAAACAAAAGATAGGAGATAAAAAGAGGAAGCAGGCATTGAACCAAATGGAGAAATATTTTGTATTAGGGTACAGATAACAAAGAAATAGAGATGTGCTAGGGGGCTGAGAGTCAATTTAAGAGAAGCTGAATTAAATTCATTGAATTTGGCCCTGGCTGGTGTAGCTCCGTGGATTGAGTGCAGGTCTTCGAACCAGGGGATCATGGTTCGATTCCCAGTCAGGACACATGCCTGGGTTGCAGGCCAGTTCCCAGCAGGGGACACACTAGAGACAACCATACATGGATGTTTCTCTCCCTCTCTCCTTCCCCTCTAAAGGTAAATAAATAAAATCTTTAAAAAAATAAGTAAGTTCATTGGATTTAGGGTTGTAGGCACATCTTTTTAGCATCCCATTTCACATCTCTCTGGGTGAATGCTGATTTCATACTAAGTCTGGTCTCAGAATGTGGTCTCATGTGGACAGTGTCCCACCTCAGGGATGTCCATGTGTCTCTCCACATTAAGATGCAAGGACCTAACCTGAAGCAATTTTGTTTCCAAACCATGAAGAAGCTAACAATCTCTGGGGAAAACTCTTTAAAAATGGAGGGGTCACAGCTCATACCTTCCCAAGCATTTCTCCCATTGACCTCAATTGTCAGGAAACAAGAATCAAGCAAAGGGAAAGAAAAGTGTTTTTCTGGAACTTAAAAAAAAAAAAGGCAAATCCAGGCACACTGATTCATGTACCAACCAAAATAGTGTCCTTACTGGGGAACAAATTCACCATATACATAATGTTCTCATCAGTTTTCTGTGGACACTCAGATGAGTTGGTCTGAGAAGACATTGGTCTCAGGAAAGAGTGAACCCCTTGGCTGATCCCCAACCATGGCCTAACTGCACGGGGACTCAATGGGAAAAAGGAACCCAAAGTCCAGATTGATCATCTCATTTCCAGTTAGCAGGCACGGGAAAAACTTGGTCCTGGATTAGCTCTAACTCAGACTTCATTTCAAATTCATTCAGTTGAAGGCTATTGGTGTTTAAACAGGAGAATTCTCTGCCTTGAAACTAGTACTTCTTATTTGCGAGGTACTCATTGCATGCCCAGTGACCAGTTAGGTTAACCAGATAACCAAGTGCTTGTTATACTAGACTTATGTAAAGAAAAAACATGTGGGAGCATTTTCTTTGGAGTTTTCCCTTGACTTTTGGGTATACGTGAGCTATGGGGTTTGGATCTCTACAAGAATATTGTCAACAGTTGGTATGTTCTCCAAAGCACTTAGTGCTTCTGAACCTTCAGGCTTCTAGAGGTCAGAAAGGATTCAATTTCCATTTTACTCCATGCATACTTTAGAATGCGGCTATTTAATCAGGTTTATACAACCACGCCTGCTCTGCATTCAGTTACCCCAGATATATAATTGCCAAATGACCAGATAATGACAGTAGCATTAGGCAAGCCAGATATCAGATACGAGTATCTGAAGAGTCTAAATCCCTCCAACTCCACACAAGGGCTGGGGAAGGCATATTGTTGTTTGTCTCCCTAACATAGTTTCCAGAATTCCTCCAGATGTGGCTCTTGTTCTAAGGAGAGGGAGGATCAAGATCAATTATATAGATGATATGGAGGGTTGAGAGGATGTTAGGAGCTAAGAGCATTTCCTCTTCTCTTCTCTTCTCTTCTCTTCTCTTCTCTTCTCTTCTCTTCTCTTCTCTTCTCTTCTCTTCTCTTCTCTTCTCTTCTCTCCTCTCCTCTCCTCTCCTCTCCTCTCCTCTCCTCTCCTCTCCTCTCCTCTCCTCTCCTCTCCTCTCCCCTCCCCTCCCCTCCCCTCCCCTCTCCTCCTCTCTTCTCTGCCCTTCCCTTCTCTTCTCTTTTACTCCCCCCTCCTCCCCCTCCCTTTCCTCTTTCTCCTCTTTTCTCTTCATATAGCCTCTCTCTTACTTCCACTCCTTCCAGACCCACACAAAGACAATTTATCTTTATTGTGGATATGCTTCTTTCCCTCTTCTCGACAGTCGTTGAGTCAGCAATGCCTCTCAACCTCTCAACTTTTCTTCCTTATTTTCTTTTTCATCTCTTCATCAAATAACAGAATCCACTGAAAAGCCTCAGGGACTCCCTGGGATCTTTTTGTCAGGTGGAGAGTTCTCTTGAATTCAGACTTTGTTTGCATTTTAAGGGATTTAAGGTGCTGATTTCCTCTCTCTTTTTTTAAACTTTTATTTTATTGTTCAAGGACAGTTGTCTCCATTTTCTCTCTATACTCTCTCTGACCCCAGCCATCCCCACCTCCCTCTTCTGATTCCACCCTCATTGGTTTTGTCCATGTGTCCTTTAGAATTGTTTCTAAAACCCCTTTCCCCTTTTCCCCCCTCTGGTTACTGTGAGTTTGTTCTTTATTTCAGTGTCTCTGGTTATATTTTGCTCACTTGTTTGCTTTGTTGAGTAGGTTCCACTTATAGGTGAGATCATACAGTACTTGTCTTTCACCACCTGGCTTATTTCACTTAGCATAATAAATGGATCAAAAAAAACTATGGTACATTTACATGATAAAATACTACACAGCAGAAAGAAAGAAGGAGCTCCTACCCTTTGCAACAGCCTGGAAGGTGCCGATTTTCTAACACCCAGCATGAATTCAGAGGACGTGAGAGCAGCTATAACTGGCTTTGCTCTACACACATCCAGTCTCTCCATCTCTTTCTATGATCACTTTTTTTTTCATGCCTTTGGACTTTGGACAGGATTCTGGAACTTATCAGCATATCAAGTCACAGCTTGTTAGCTGAAAAGAATCCATCATGTTAGATGAGTCTAAGTATTCCTTTTGCTCAGTTCTGAATTTGAGGTAGTGAACAGTGCCCTTGATTTTTGAATGTGGGAGTTTTCTTTTTTGTTTGCTCATTTGTTTACTATTTATTTTATTATTTATTATTTTATTATTGTTCAAGTACAGTTGTCTGCATTTGCCCCCCTACGCCTCCCACCCCAGCCATCCCCACTTCCCTCCCCTGATTCCACCACTCCTTGGTTTTGTCCATGTGTCCTTTATAATTGTTTCCGAAAATCCTCCCCCCTCCCTCCCATTATCCCCTCCCATTTGAGCTTAGCCCATCACCTATGTAAGAAATTAGCTTCTCACTGCACCAAGACTTTTTTGCCTCCCATTGCTAACTCCCATCTCAACTCTCATCACCTTCTTCTTTATCCCACACACTGCCATCAAACTTAAATGTTAAATTTCTGTTCCTTTGCTATTATTCCATCAACTTGAATCTTTGCATATACTGCTTCCTACAAGGCCTCTATTCTCCATGTATTAGAAAAATTCTACTTATTTTCCTAGATTTTATCATAGGTTTTTCAAAATTTACCAAACCTAGGGATATCCTGTTTTACTTTACCTTTTTTAAAGAGTTTCCAAGACAGTTCTGGCTGGTGTGGCTCAGTGGATTGGGCGCTGGCTGCGAACTACAGGGTTGTTGGTTTGCTACCCAGTCAGGACACATGCCTGGGTTGCAGGCCGGGTCCCCAGTAGGGGGAGCATGAGAGGCAACCACACATTGATGTTTCTCTCCCTCTCTTTCTCCTTCCCTTCCCCTCTCTCTATAAATAAATAAATAAAATCTTTTTTAAAAAGTAAAAAACAGGTCAGCTGGTTGTAATTATCATCTAGTCTGTTCCCAGCATCAACATCTGAGCTTGGACTTACTCTCCATGGGTGATGTCGATTATGATGGTGTTGATGGTGGTGATGATAATGATGATGATGGTGATAGTGGTAATAGTGATGATGATAATGGATATAATTAATATCTCTTCAGTAAAACTCATATGCCAGACTCTACTCTAAGCTAAGTGTTTGAAAACTAAGGCCAATGGACCAAGTCTACTTCCTCATTCTTTTTTTATAAATAAAGTTTCACTGAAACACATTGTTCATTTACATATTTCCCATAACTGCTTTCACATTACAATGGTAGAACTGAGTCATTGAAACAGAGGTCTTAAGACCCACAAAGCCAAAAATATTGAGAATTTGACCCTTTGCCGATAAAGGCACTGACCTTTGTTCTAAGTGATTTAGATACATTACCCATTCAAAGCTCCCAGCAGGCTAATGGGATTGGCCCTCCTATTCTCCTAATTTTATGCACATTGAACTTGAGATACAGAATTTAAGGACCTTTCTCAGAGTTCCCCAGAGCATTATCAATGCATCTGGGCTTTAATACACAGCATCAGACTACAGAATTGAAGTGCGTGGTCACTCGGTAGTGACCCTTCTTATGTGAGTTAAAAGGTCAGAAGCCCATCATATCTAACCACTCTCACCTGGTGTTCAAAGTCCAGTCAGGTTCCTGAATTCCTCTCTGGATCTGAGCCTGGGTTGACATTTCAGACAGTCCAATGTTTCCCCCATGGTTTCCAGTATAAAGCCTATTGGGACACTATCCTACTGTTGTGTCCTGATGTTGTGCTGTGACGTCCCTATGATATTTCCATGTTTTATTGAGAATGTTGTTTACAATTTTGGGCTAATGGGAACTATGCTTTTCTCCTACTTTCCATGGCTGTATCTTTGGGCAGATGTGCAAAGGCTTCTCTGGGGCATAGTTCTAGGTGTAAGACTGCTTATTGTAGCTGCCCATTACTTGCCCTGACCCAGAAAATTCCCCAAATTGGCTGAACCCATTTGTACACTTACCAAGTAGTGTGTGAGATGCTGCTTGCTCCACCCTCTCTCCAACAGTTAATATCAAAATGAAGACAAACAAACACGTGTTTATCATCTCAGAACTCACAAATCTTATTTAATTGGCAGCACAGCCCTGAAGTCACTACCAGTCACATAGGAGGCACAAAAAGCTCACAGGTGAGCTGCCACTTGCATGGGGCCACACAGGAGAGTGTGGACTCCAAGTGCAGGTGTTGCAGAAGCCACCTAGGAAGCACCTGGTGAAGAGAAAGGAGCTTGCAGAATCCAGACACAGTGCTGGGATAACATTCTAAGCTTGCACCTTCCAAGCTGGATGTACGTTTTAGTCCATTGGCTTAATCACTCAACCATGTTACCTGAGTCTCTGCACTTAGAAGGGGAGGCAGAGAGCAACTCACACCAGGGAATGTGGATGCTAGAAACAAGATATTCACAACACCATGTAAGAATAGAGCATGAGACAGAGTGAAGTAATGGGCACAGTCTCTTCATATGGACGTTGCGTCATGAAGATGGCGGAGTGAGAGAAGCCCCAAACTGGGGAGATAGCAAGGCATGGGCAACGTTTGTGACAGGGGAGCCTCCCCCAAGGGACAACTGAAGTCCCCGTCATTGCTTCCAGCACTAATCACACCGTGTCAATTGTCTAAGTCCTCCACACCAAGTTCACACCGTTTGTGGCTCCAACTTTCTGGACCTTCTTTGTCATCATACCTTGCACGCGTGATTTTGATCTAAGTCTCTGTTGCAAATCCTGAGGCATTGGTGCACTCCATCTTCAGTTTACCTTTGAGGACCCTCTTCGACTGTGCCAGTCCTGATACACCAGCACCCCCAGCACCACCAGGATCAATGCAGACAGACCTATGCGGATGAGATTCTCCACTGTGTAATCGGGGCGTTGAGTGCCTGGGGACAGGGAGGAAAAGGTTGTGGTGGGTAGTGCAGATCACACTCAAAGCGGCAGCTGGGGCAGACGCTAAGACCCCCGTCCCCTTGAACATCTGAGTCCCCAAGCCAAACAGGTTCAGTTACTTACCACTTGTGGCATTTGGGGTCTGCACTGATGGGCTGATAGTAACAGGAGCCTCTGAAAATCAGGAAATCAGAGAGAGTGAGGAACCAGTAGCCTGCCAACCCAGCAATCACTCAAGGATCTGCCCTATTACATCTCCCTGCTCACACCCATTTTCATCTACTTCCACCATGATGCCTTCCACCGCTCCAGGTGAGGAGGCAACCCTCCTGCCTCTGATTTCCTCATGCTTAGACTTAGCTTTCAGGTCTTAAAAGCAAGAAGGGTTCACCCACACCCCTTGCCACAAGCTAAGAGTGAACACGTTCGAAAACTCTTGAAGTTTAGCTTTGACGTGATCTCTCATCCTTCTGGTGCATTAGTCCCATCTAAATGTAATCTCCTGAAAATTAGAGTCTTCAGTTAATCCTCAGGTGAGAGTCCTGGGTCCATGGATGAGAGGTTGGTGCCCAGGGGTTATTGAGTGTTGGGGAAAAGAGGTGTGAAAACCTGGGGCCACCACTCTTTGCCCAAAGTCAACCAGCTCTTTCTACTCCTGAGTCTGCAGTGAATACTTGCAACTGATTTTCTTCTGTTATTTCATGTATACATTTTTTACTGATTCACTCCGTAAAGTGTTATGGGCTATCTAGAAACACATGTATGTACACATGTATCCATACACATGCACAGATGTTATATGTATTATGTGTATAACATGCACTAATACATGATATGTTCATACATAAATATGCATATAATATGTGTGCTTATACACATGTGTATATTATATATGCATTATATAATATACTTTGTATAAATATAAGGAAACATGTATATTAATATATACATGAGTATGTGGGCACACACATGTGTATTGGTAATGATGATAAAGAAAAATTAATAGTATTAAGTAAAATGTGTAACGGATATATCAGAGCTATGATTATGAAAATATACAATATAGTAAGAATTGGTTAAACACTTTAAAAACGATGAAAGGGCCCTGGCTGGTGTAGCTCAGTGGATTGAGTGCAGGCTGCAAACTAAAGGGCTGCCAGTTCGATCCCCAGTCAGGGCACATGCCTGGGTTGCCGGCCAGGTCCCCAGTGGGAACCATGTGAGAGTCAACCACACATTGATGTTTCTCTCTCTCTTTCTCCCTCCTTCCCCTCTCTCTAAAAATAAATTTAAAAAATCTTTTGAAAAGCCAATGAAAGGTATTAAGAGTATATAGGGTCCCAGCCAATTTAGGGAAAGATTTTTACATCAGAACCTGAAGAGTAAAAAGAGTGAGCCATGGGAAGAGACTGTTGACATTTATCACAGAACTAGTGCCCATGTCCTCTGCCTAAGCTGTTTTACCCTAAAAACTTAACCACAATGTAAGGACTCGTTCTTTCTACATACACCTGTGTTTTACGTAGGTACAACAACATTCATTGCAGGGTGGCTTGCAATATAAAATGATTGGAAACAAACAAAATGACAGATTTTAGGGCATTGGATAAATGGAACCTGCTACTTCCAAGCAAGGGAATATAAGGCAGCCATTAAACTGTCTAAAGCGGCCCTGGCTGGTGTAGCTCAGTGAATTGAGTGCTGGTCTGTGAACCGAAGGGTCATTGGTTTGATTCCTAGTCAGGGCACATGCCTGGGTGGCAGGCCAGTTCCCCAGTAGGGGGCGTGCGTGAGGCAACCACACAATGAAGTTTCTCTCCCTCTTTCTCCTTCCCTTCCCCTCTGTCTAAAAATAAACACATAAACTATTGTTTAAAAAAAACCCTAAAGTGGATTGGTATGTACAGATACCAGACCATTCTTTAAAATGTATTAACTCATTTTTTTTTAAAAACATAGAGCAGCTCAGAACAGTGTCTATAAGATGCTGGTCTTTGTCTATGCACAGAGCTGTGCTTATAGGATCTCGAATATTTCGGGGAAAAGGTAGAAGACTGTGGCTGGCACCTGATGTTGCTCGGAAACTGAAGGGTGGAGCCAATGCTAACAGAATGAAAGGTGCTATACTCCCTGTTCACCACCTGTAAACAATTTCAGGTTTATGTCATGTCCATGCATGGCCCTGAAGGAGAATGAGGAGGAGGAGGAGGAGGAGGAGGAGGAGGAGGAGGAGGAGGAGGAGGAGGAGGAGGAGAAAAAACATGGGACCCGGAGAAAGAGAGGCCTCCTTGGCTTTTTCAATGATTCATTCCCCACACAGGAATGAGCACCCAGTGGCAGACGGCAGTGTCTGGGCTCAGAAGAGGGCAGAGGAGGAAAAGACAGACAGACGTGGTACTCAGTGGAAGGTGGTTGGGCGCGAGCTCATCCAGACACCTCGGTAGATGGAGAGGAAGGAAAACACCACAGACAGCTCCTTACCTTCCACCTTGAGCTCCAGGGGGTTGCTGGGATATGACAACAGGAAGGGGGCACTCCTGAGTGACCCATAGCACCTGTAAGTGCCCCCGTGGTCCAGGGTGGTGGGGCTCACAGGGAAGTTTGCCTGAAACACCCCATCTTGGGACCGAGCCCTGATGTGCCGAGGGGGGCTGGCTACCCCTTCCTTGAGCAGAAGAAACGTGTCAAATGAGCTCCCAGTCTGACACCTCAGAGTCACATTCTCTCCTAGGGCCACGGTGGGGCTCGGCTGGGCTGACAGAGTGGGTGATGTGTTCTGAGGGGCCGAGGCTGAGAGAGAGAGAAGATCATGGTGTTAGGGGCCACTTCGTCCCTGTCCACCCACCCCTGGACCTCAACTGAGGTGCCACTCTGAGTGTGAGCTGGGGAGGGGCTCCTCACCTGCCACCAGGACGTCCAGGGGGTCACTGGGGGCCGACCACACATAGGAGAGGCTGTGTCCACCGTAGCACCTGTACCGGCCCCCGTGGGAGCTGCTCGCCGGGCCGAGGGAGAAGTTGGTCTGAGAGAGACCAGCCTGGGGCTCTTGGGGGAGCTCCTGTTCCCCATCTTTGGACAGAGCGAATCTGCCATAGCCATCATCAGAGTGACACTGGAGGGTCACCGTGTCCCCGGGGGCCACCACAGGACCTGGCAGGATGGAGAGGGATGGTTTCCTAGACACACCTGGAGGAAAGGGAGGTCAAGTTTGTAAGAGGGTCAGCTGCCTACAGTCCCCTCCCCCCTGGGCCTCCCCACTGCAGATTCTGGTGTGTCCCTGGCTGCCGGAGCCCTGAGCTCTCTCGCTGCAACCTCATCCCACCCAGTGCTCCACCCGAGATGACGAGGCTCTGCCTGACCTGCCTGGAGAACCAGGGAGTCCTGGGGGAATGTTGTGGGTTTCTCACCTGAGATCAGGAGCTCCAGGATGCTGCTAGAGGAAGACCACACGTAAGGAGAGCCTGAGAAAGCACCGTAGCACCTGTACATCCACCTCTGACTCGGGCTCATGGGCCCCAGTGTGAAAAGGGCCCAGAACCACCCATCAGCTCCATGCTGGGAAGCCAAGCTTTTGAAGTGGCCATTTCCTCCTTCGTGAGACAAAAAAAACCAACCGAATTCCTGCCACGAGCCACAGTGCAGGGTCACACTGTCTCCTGAGGTCACGAGGGGGCCAGATAAGGCCAAGAGGCTGGGCGGGTCGAACATCCCTGGGAGAGAACAAGCCGGAAGCGTCAAAAGAGGAGACGACACTTGAGGACACTGTGCTAAGTGAAGCAGGCCAGTCACAGGAGGACAAATACCGTCCGATTCCACTCATGTGATTGAGGAAGCAGAGAGGGCAATGGTGGTCAGCAGGGGCTGGGGAGAGGGGCAACTGGGGAGCTCAGTGGGTCTAGAGTTTCAGTTCTGCAAGATGGGTAAGTTCTAGACACCTGCTGGACAACATCGTGACTAACAATACAGTATTGTGCACTTTAAAATTTTAACAGTTTGGGCCCAGACTGCTGTGGCTCAGTGAACTGAGCACTAGCTTGTGAACCGAAGAGTTGCCAGTTCAATTCCTGGTCAGGGCACATGCCTGGGTTGCGGGCTAGGTCCCCAGTAGGGGGCGCATAAGAGGCAACCACACATTAACGTTTCTCTCCCACTCTTTCTCCTTCTCTTCCCCTTCCCCTTTGTCTAAAAATAAATAAAATTATTAATTTTTTTTAAAAAAGGCAAATGGATTCAGAAGCACAAATTTGGTCGTTACAAAATACTCACTGGAAATAGGGAATACAGTCAATAATATTATTAACAACTATGGACGGTGCCGGGTGGGGTTGACTCGACTTAAGGGGGTATCGCTTCGTAAATCATAAGTCTAATTGCTATACTGTACACATCTCATGTCGAACCAGTTCTTACCGTAATAAAAACAGGGGGCAGAAGAGAGGGCCATCACCTGCCAAGCCCTGTTCACAGGACTTAGCTGTGGACAGGAGTGGCTCCTCCCAGGGTACAGCGGCCTCACCTGTGCCCCAGAAAGCGTCTGCTCACCTGTGACCACCAAGTCCAGAGGCTCGCTGGGAACCGACCAGCTTGCTTGGCTTTGATACCTGCAGTGGTACCTCCCGGCAAGGTCTCGGGTCATGAGCTGGATGCGGAACTTGACCTTGTCTCTGGGTCTCTGTGGAAACTTGCTTCTCCAGGGCTGCGGGACCCACTCCTGGTGCAGGTAGTACCTGTCGGCTTCCTGAGGCCCCTGACACCAGATGCTCACAGGCTGCCCCTGAGCAACAGCAGTGCTTGGCTCCGCCCAGATGGTGGGTTTGGGTAGTGTCTCTACAATGGAAGCAGAGGGGGCCGTCGCCATCTTCTCTGTGCCTCGGTTTCCCCTAGCTCTCAGCCTCGGGGCTCCTCACATGTGTTCCCTACTTAGCCATTTAGAATTCCTCTCCTCCCTCTCTGTCCTCCAGATACCCTGGGAAGGGGGATGGGTGTCCCACATTGTCCCCAAGGAGGAGGCAGGATCTGAGAGGCCTGGGGATGGACTCACCTGTCTGCAGGTAGGTCTCCTGGCCCAGACACAGTCCTGCAAGAGAGACCCCGGTAAAAGGCCTCCGATTCCTGAGCAGATTCCACTTTCCCTGAGACTTCCAGTTCACGCCAGGAGGTCTTACGAGAGATCACCTCCCGCATAGGGGCTCATCCCTTCCTGCCCACAACTCACCGAGGCAGAGGAAAGCGGCAGACAGGATGGTCATGGTGCTGCCTGCCGCTGGAGAAGGCTGTGCAGGTGGGAAACACTGTGGGACTTGGCAGAGCACACAGACCCACATGGTGTGGGCAGATGGAGGCTCCCCCGTCCCCGGGGCTCGGAGGAAGGCGAGAGGCTCCTTCCCTCCAGCTGCTCTCAAGGGCTCCTGTGTCCCCGCAGACGGCTGAGACCAGAGCTGAGATGCCACTCGGCTCTGAGCTTGTGCCTCCGGGACGTGACAGGGTGGGGACCCAGGTTCTAAGCCTGAGTCAGCCCCGTGGGTCACGTAAAGTGGGTGTGCCAGGGAAGGGGGCCGCACCACTTCCCCTTTCCGGACCTCCATATATGGGAACCTGTCTCTGTCTGTCCCCAATCATCCAGCAAATGTCTATTTTTAAAAAATATTTTATTTATTTTGTTTTCAGAGAGCGGGGAAGGGAGGGAGAAAGAGGGTGAGAAATGTCAGCGTGTGGTTGCCTTTTGTGCACCTACTTCTGGGGATTTAACCTGACTGGGGATTGAACCAGCAACCCTATGCTTTGCCAGCCGATGCTCAATCCACTGAGCTACACCAGCCAGGGCCAAGTATCTGTTTGAACCCCTAGATTTTTCCAGACCCTGGACATCCATCTGTGAACCAGACCAGAGGGGGTCAGAGTGCTGGCCAAGGTCAGATTATTGGAAGAGAGATGGTCAGTAACTAATTTCACGGTGAATTACTCTTTCAAAAATAAGAAATACATCAAAATATGAGACAGTGTGACAGGAGGAAAATCTGAGTTGTATGTTATGAAAAGTAGCAAGCTGCTATCCTCACAGATGTGGGCTTCAGAATAGATCATATCCTACCATCACCGGTCATCAGGAAAATGCAGCCAGTAACTGAAAGGGATAAACGTATACATCAAAACCATGTGAGAACTAGAGAAAAATGGTGGTGAGCTTCTTTATACCTTGAGAGTAGAGAACGGCTTTCTAAACATGATACTGAATTCTCAGTAAATTTGAGTTTGCTGAAACGTGTATGGTCATGTGAACCAATGCCACCCCGGTAAAAAAAAAATACAGTAGCCTTTTCAAGAAAAAATAAGCCCCTAACCCAATTTGGAAAACATAGAGAGAATATACATATTACATATAATATAATACAGGGGTTGGCAAAAGTAGGTTTACGTTTGTTTGTAATAAATAATACAATGTCGATTAATAAGTAATAATAAAAGAATAAACTCTGTGTTTTGCATACTTACAATGGCAAACCTACTTTTGCCCACTCCTGTATAATATAATATAATATAATATAATATAATATAATATATATAATATAAGTTAATCTCTATATGTTTGTGTATATATATATATAATAAAAGGGTTAATTGTGAAAAGGGTTAATTTCCTCAATATACTAAGTTAGAAAAAATGAATTTAATTTTCATGCTATGATTTTTCTTTTTCTAAATTTATTTTTTATTGATTATGCTGTTACAGTTGTTCTATTCCCCCCCTTCATTCCCCTCCACCCTACCCCCCCATCACCACCATTACCCCCCCTTTAGTTTATGACCATGTGTCTCAAGTTCTTTAGATTCTATATTTCCCATACTATTCTTGCCCTCCCCCCATCTATTTTCTACCTACTGTCTATGCTACTTATTCTCTGTACCTTCTCCCCCCTTCTCCTCCTCCCACTCCCCTGTTGCTAACCCTCCTTGAGATCTTCATTTCTATGTTTCCACTCCTGATCTAGCTGTCCTCCTAGTTTGCCTTCGTTTTAGGTGTGGTTGTTAATAACTGTGAGTTTGCTGTCCTTTCACTGTTCATGTTTTTTTAACTTCTTTTTCTTAGATAAGTTCCTTTAACATTTCATATAATAAGGGCTTGGTGATGATGAACTCCTTGAATTTGATCTTATCTGAGAAGCACTTTATCTGTCCTTCCATTCTAAATGAAAGCTTTGCTGGATAGAGCAATCTTGGATGTAGGTCTTTGGATTTCATGACTTGGAATACCTCTTTCCAGCCCCTTCTTGCCTGTAAGGTCTCTTTTGAGAAATCCGCTGACAGTCTGATGGGGACTCCTTTATAGGTGACTGTCCCCTTAGCTCTTGCTGCTTCTAGGATTCTCTCCTTCATTTTAATTTTGGCTAATGTAATTATGATGTGCCTTGGTGTGTTTCTTCTTGGGTTCAACTTCTTTGGGACTCTGAGCTTCCTGGATTTCCTGGAAGTCTATTTCCTTTGCCAGATTGGGGAAATTCTCCTTTATTATTTATTCAAATAAGTTTTTCACTGGTGGCTGTGCCTTTCCCCCTTCTGGTACCCCTATAATTCGGATGTTGGAGCATTTAAAGATGTCCTGGAGGTTCCTAAATCTCTTGTCATTTTTTTGAATTCTTGCTTCTTGACTCTTTTCTGTTTGGCCATTATTTGCTTTCTTCTGGTCCACTCTATTGATTTGAGTCCCAGTTTCCTTTTCATTACTATTGGTTTCCTGTGCAATTCCATTCATTTCAATTAGTTTCACCTTCATATGTTTGTCTAATTTGTGGCTATAATCAACCAGTTCTGTGAGGCTCCTGATCACCAGTGTTTTAAACTGTGCGTCTGAGAGTTTTGCTATTTCTTCATCGCTTAGATTTATGGGCTCTGGGGCTTTGAGATCTTCTTGAGCCATTTTTGGTCTGTTTGTGCCCGTTAAGTATGAGGAGCGGAGCCTTGGACTCCCAGGTCGCTGGGTTGTGACTCTGTATGTGGAGGCGGGGTCAGAGTGGGGAAATGGCGGCCACCTCTGCCGTTTCTCGCATCTGGGTGATGAGCAGAGCGTTAGGTTGTTCACCGAGGCAGGGCCACTTAGGTCGCTGGATTATGACGCTGTATGTGGAGGCGGGGTTAGAGCGGGGAAATGGCGGTGCGCTCCGCCACCTCTTGCCGATGGGACCTGCTGGCTCTCGTCCAATCGCCCACTCCCTTGCTTGTCTATCCACACACGAATGAGCGACCACAGTTAACCCGCAGCCCTGCTCCCTTGCTGTTTCCCCGCGATTGCTTGCTGAGTTGCCCACCAGGTCCAACCCTGTGCCTGGATTCCGAGTGCCTGAGTCCATCTGACCAAGTTTTCCTGTGCTACCCTGCCCTGCCAGCTGCCGGTTTTGCCCCTCTTACCGGTCAGGCTGAAGAATTTGTTGTTATCAGACTTCCGAAAAGTTCAATTTTCTGTGTTCTGGCTGTGTTTTCTGTTGCTATTATTTAATTGTCTCTAAACTTGGTTGTGTGAGAAAGCACGGCCTCTCCACCTATGCCCCATGCTATGATTTTTCATACTCATAATTTATTTTCCTGTATGATATGAGGAATGGACATAACTTACATTCTACGACTTTTTCTAATGTTATCAACATAGTTTAAAGATAGCACATACAGACTTCTCGTCAAGATGGAGGCATAGGAAGACACACTGTGTCTCCTTGCACCACTAAGAGAAGGACAATAACAAGTTTAAAAACAAACAAACAAACAAAAAATAACCAGAACGGCTAGAAAATTGAACCTTATGGAAGTCCTACAACCAAGGAGCTAAAGAAGAAATATTCTTCCAGACCAGTGGAGGGATGGAGATGGACAGCTGGGGTGGAGAGGACTTATGGCAAGGCGGTGGCTGGTGGGGTGAGCAGTCCCACATTTGCATGTGGGTAAACCAGGAGGAACAACTGGGGAGCAAGACAGACCACACAGCCCAGGGTTACAGCCTTGGGAAATAAAGCCTCAAAATCTCTGACTTAAAAAAATGGTGGGGGTTGAGGCAGCAGGATAAATTCCTAGCCTCACAGGAGAGTTCGTTGGAGAACTCTAGAACATACACAAAACCATCTGCCTGAGAATCAGCACCAGAAGGGCCCAATTTGCTTGTGGGTCATGGAGGAAAGGACTGAAAGTCCATGGGGAAGTGAGCAACCAGCACTGTTCCCTCTCAGACCCCTCCCTCAATACAGTGTCACAATGCAATGTGGGTTGCCCCACCCTGGCGGATACCTAACGCTTCATCCCTTACTGCATAACAGGGGCACCAAGACAAAATATATGGCCCAAATGAAAGAACAGATCAAAGCTCCAGAAAAAAATATGACTGAGCGTTGAAGAGATAGCCAACCTATTCAGATGCAGAGTTCAAAACACTGGTAACCAGGATGCTTACAGAAATGGTTGAGTATGGTCATAAAGTAGAGAAAAAAGTGAAGGCTGTGAAAAGTGAAATAAAGGAGAAGGTACAGGGAACCAATGGTAATGGGAAGGAAACTGAGACTCAAATCAATGGTTTGGACAAGAAGGAGGAAATAAACATTCAAGCAGAACAGAATGAAGAAACAAGAATTCAAAAAAATTAGGAGAGGCTGAGGAAACTCTGACACAAGTTTAAACATCCCAACATCCAGATCATAGGGGTGCCAGAAGGAGAAGAGGAAGAGCAAGAAATTGAAAACTTATTTAAAAACATAATGAAGGAGAACTTCCCCAATCTGGCAAAGGAAATAGACTTCTAGGAAGTCCAGAAATCTCAGAGTCCCACAGAAGTTGGACCCAAAGAACAACACACCACCAAAGCACATCATAATTACATTAGCCAAGATTAAAATGAAAGAGACAATTCTAGAAGGAGCAAGAGATAAGGGGACAGTCACCTACAAAGGAGATCCCATCAGACTGTCAGTGGATTTCTCAAAAGAGACCTTACAGGCATGAAGGGGCTGGTAAGAGGTATTCCAAGTCATGAAATCCAAAGACCTACAACCAAGATTGCTCTATCCAGCAAAACTGTCATTTAGAATGGAAGGGCAGATAAAGCGCTTCCCAATAAGGTCAAGTTAAAGGAGTTCATCATCACCAAGTTCTTATTATATGTTAGGGGACTTAACTAAAAAAGAAGATAAATAATATGAACAGTAAAATGACAACAAACTCACAACTATCAACAACAAAATCTAAAAACAAAAACAAACTAAGCAAACAACTAGAACAGGAACAGAATCACAGAAAGGGAGATTCCCATGGAAAGTTATCAGTGGGAAGTAGAGGGAAGAGAACGGGGGGAAAGGTACAGGGAATAAGAAGCATAAATGGTAGGTACAAAATAAACGGAGGGAGGTTAAGAATAGTATGGGAAATGGAGAAGCCAAAAACTTACATGTATGATCCACGAACAGGAACTAAGGTGGGGGGATGATGGTTGGAAGGGGTTACGGGGTGGAGGGGAGAAAAAAATGGGACAAC